ATTTCTGTTGCAGGCTTATTCTACAGTTGGAACGCCTGATTATATTGCTCCGGAAGTTCTGCTGAAGAAAGGATATGGAATGGAATGCGATTGGTTAGCATCTTTCTGCTTTATTTGGTTTATTTTTATATTTCAAGATAACCTTTCGATGATATTTTGCTAAATCAACTTCAGGTGGTCACTTGGTGCCATCATGTATGAAATGCTTGTGGGATTTCCACCGTTTTACTCAGATGAGCCTATGTCAACTTGTAGGAAGGTAATGTGGAACTAGTTTCAGATTTTGCTTTTGGTCCTTGATTTTTTAACATGAATGAAAGATCTTACGAAGTATGTAAGATGTATGTTGGTTTACATTTACTGGATGAGAATAGATTCGTGAAAGAATAAAAAAGAAAGCCAACGGAAATAAAACAGGCAGAAATTGGAATAGAACTTCTAATGTTAAGGTTTACTGAAATTGTTTTAGTATCTGAATATAAACGAGAAGCTTAATATTAATGTTATTAACTCAGCCTATAATGAAAATTAATTTTTGATTGGTACATGACTCTAGTTATGTAGTGAAGCAAAATGTCAGAAAAAAATTAAAATGGACTAGAAGAATGGATAAATGGGAAGGCGTCCTCTACCATTGTTTAAAATAATGTTATTGTGGACTGACGAGTCTAATTATTATTATGGATAGAATTTATGTCAGGATTATTGTGAACTCGAAGTAAATAATAATTGTTAGATTGAGGAGAATAATTTTCAATCCTTCATTGTTAATCCTTGTAATCAAAGCCTTAACTTTCTTTTTTTATTACCTAGAGCCTGGATACTGGCAACCTTATGATGGTCGGGGTCTTAAAGGGACATGGTGTAATTTTGGATTTAGCATCTCTAATTGTGTAGTTTAGTTAACTATTTTGGAATTGACTCTTGTGGTTTGATACTCTTTTCTCAGTCGTGACTAATTCTCTCTTTAACCTATGGTGCAGATAGTTAATTGGAAAACTCATTTGAAATTTCCAGAAGAAGCAAAACTCTCTCCAGAAGCGAAGGATCTAATTAGTAAACTCTTATGCAATGTTGAACAAAGGCTTGGGACCAAGGGTGCAGATGAAATAAAGGTGTTGTGTGGTGTGTTCTGTTCTAAATGTTGATCAACAATTCACAAATTGAGTTCCTAAAATAGAGTGATAGTTAAATTATTGGTTGATTTGGCTTGTTATTTATAGGCACACCCATGGTTCAAGGGCATCGAGTGGGACAAGTTGTATCAAATGAAAGCTGCATTTATTCCTGAGGTCAATGATGAACTGGATACTCAAAATTTTGAGAAGTTTGAAGAGGTACACCAGTAATTCATTTTCTGTATCTATAGCAGAACTGCTTCTGGTACCCTTGTGTTAACTTCTTCTATCCATTATGGATGGTGTTATAGACTGAAAACTCAATTCAGACGTCATCAAAATCAGGTCCATGGAGAAAGGTTAGTTTGTCACACGCCTGATAATTTATCATTGGTTTCTTGAGAACAATTGGAATTGGGTTTTAATTTTACGTGGACACAAGTGTTTTCTGTGGCCATTGTATAACTTGCATCTAAAATTTTCTAATATATTGGATCGTAGGCTCTTTTTTCTTCTGTGTCTTATTCTATCAAATTCGTTTTTGGGGAGCTAGCTGAAGTTGATAAGATTTCTGGGTTTTTTTTTAGACTCTAGTCTATTTTTAAAATTAATAACCAGATGGTCCTGACTGTTTGTTGGAATTGGAACGGCAGGATATTCTTAACAACTAGAACTATTCTTTTTTATTCTTTTTGTTTGGGGAGGGGTGTTAGGCCAGGATCTTTAGATGACCTAGTTCTGTTTTAAAAGAAAAAGAAATCGGAATGACAGTTATATAATTCAGACAGACATTGACCTGCAAATCACTGATATATAGGACATTGCTAACTAATATGCTGCCTATTTGCTGATTTTTTTAATTGTTTAATGCAGATGCTGTCATCGAAAGATATTAACTTTGTGGGTTACACGTACAAGAACTTTGAAATCATCGATGATAATCAATTGCCTGGAATCGGTATCTCTGCCCCCACTTATTTCAATACGAATGAAAATTTTTCAACAGATATCTATTCTTTTTTCTCCCTCTCACTACCCATAAACCAAAGAACAGTACGTTTGCTTCATTACCCTTGGAGTAATGCCAAGGCAATGTAGGTTCTTTCATTGGTTGTCTTGGTTACTCATTGCAACTTTCCTTCGCATTTTTTTTGGGGGGAAAATGCTGTAGTTTAGTCGAGTTATACGTGTGGAAAGGTAGATTATGTTGTCAAATGGAAGATGGTTCCTTCATTTCTTGCGTTCTTGTTTGTCCATAATGCCTTAGTATGTATATTATTATCTTAGTTCTCTAATTTATGATCGGGATCAATTTTACGACACAATAATATATTGTATAATGTTAAAATAAATGTTTGTTTAGTTCATACGTAACTAAATGCTGCTACACACGAAAAGCACTCCCTTCTCTTAGATTGGAAATATTGTCTTTTACAACATCCATTTCCATGGCCCTTTTTTAAGCATCTTACCTGACATGTCTGCGGCTTTTATTAACAGCTGAATTGAAGAAGAAGAGCACAAAATCTAAAAGACCTTCCATCAAATCTCTTTTCGGTAATTTTCAAGCCCTTAAGAAATCTTCATTTTCTGGTTGCTGCTATTCCATTATTTGTTCTTAAATTTTCTTTTTATGCTTTCTGTTAAGATTGCCCCATTCAGATCTTCCTTCGTTAATGTCTTTTAAGTTATTGCTTTGATCTATAACTGCAGAAAACGAATCTGCAATGGCGACCAATCAACAACCTGTTCAAGGCAGCTTTTTGAAACTCTTGCCTCCCCAACTAGAAGTTCCTGAGAAACCGATGAGTGCCAATGGGAAGCATTCATGATTTCGGCCCATCGTCGGGGTTACTTCCAAAGACCGATCACGTGCTCTTTGGTGAGAAAACTACCCTTTTGTTTAACTGCTTCTTTGCATATTTGGGTAAATTTTGGACAGGAGGTTTTAGAGAGGGAGGGCAAAGGCCTAATAATCTGTTGGGAGTGAGAAAAGACAATCAAATCAAACATTGGCTCATGGATCGTCTGTTTTCCATTAGTCTCTGTAAAATATTTCCTTTCCTTTCCTTTCCTTTCCATTGGAGGTATAGGAGGTTGTTCTTTCCAAAACTCAAACTCATGACTTGTTAATTCTTTTTCTTTTATTTATTTCCATCCAACCCCTCTTTCGTGCAAGATGCAAAGCTTCCTTTGTTCAATTCTAGAATTACTGGTCTTGTAATTAACTTACTGTTGTTGTTGTTGTTGATAGTTATATCATTTTACACATGGAAATTTTAGATTCATATTAACATGTTCCAAGTTGTGTGTGTTTTTCTTCTCTTTTCTCTCTCTACAAAGCTTAACTCACTTCATTCGGTGTATCTTCTAAACCTTCATTCTGCCCTCTGTGCCTGGTTAAATTTTGCTATTACCCTCCAAATTTTGACGAGAAATATCCTGAATGCGTTAGGTTAGGCTCATATTCTTTTTTGTCTCCAACTTTTAGGAAAGTAACAATTTAGTGTTCGAATTGTTAGTTTGTAATGATTTGGTTTCATTGTTTTTAATTCTGTAATAATTTATTTTTTGAATTTTTGAATTTATTTTAAAAATGAATTATTTAAATAAACTAATGTTTAGTTGACATATTTTAATTATTATGTCATCATTCCATTACGTACAAGGGGAGTCTTAACATGTCATTTTTGGAAAATAAATTAAAGTATTAAGGTCCACCCGTGTTAGTTTTAAAAATATAAAACTTTACTTTATCCTTTGTTGTTTTAATATTAGTTGGCATTTGAGTGAAAATCGAGAATGTCTTGAAATCAATTTTTTTAAGCCTACACGAATGAATTCGTCTATTTAAAAATTTTCAACATGAGATTTCATTCGTTTATTTAAAAATAATTTTAAAAATTTCGAACATGACATATCAACTAATATTTTTTCAAAAAAAGTTTGAAAATTATAGTCCCCACCCCCAAATAATGTTACGATTGAATTTTATGTATTTATTTATTTTAATATTGTCTGTTTGAAACTAATTAAAAAATGAATAATTTTAAGAAGACTTAAATTATAAATTAAAAAAATTCCTAAATTAAATATTAAAAAACTTTTAAAAGTAAATTGGAAATAGAAATTCATCAATACAATTACTAACATGTGTTTTAAATGGATAGAACCTCCAAATTTTATGATTATAAATTGACATCTGACCTAATTTTGAAATAAAATAAAATTTAAAACCAAAAGTAACCATTGAAATTAGATGAAAAGAGAGAGAGAAAGTGTCATTATCAAATAAATTTTAAAAATGTTTGAATTTGGTATGCCATCTTAGGATAAGACAAGGACTAAATCTACTCTCATTCATATCTCCCTAATTACTTTTATTTCAAATTAGAAAGTATATAATTATATAAATTTACCCTTTTAAATGTTTTTTTTAATAAAATAAAACCCTTAAAAAAAAAAGGCTTTAATTGATAATATATTAGGTTTTCTTCGACCATCATTATCCTATCTACCTATTTTGAAAAAAAAAGAGATGACCGTGTTTTTGATCATATAGACCCTCCACAACAAGATGAGACAAAATAAACGTGCTCGTGTCTCCATCAAGACTATTTTATATATGGGTTACGAAAATAAAAAACTTTAAACTTTTCTCCGTTGAGAGTGTTTTTTAAAACTCTTCATAAAAAGATTATTCTTAAATTTTAAGAGTATGCCTTTCATGTCACACGATGATAAACCAGCTAATAACGTGCCCAAAAAGTTTTGATGCTTATGCCGTTGTTTGCTAACAATGGTGTGGAAATTATGAAATAAAATAATATATTATTGAATATCGTATTGTACCGGATATTGCAACAAGGATTAAGTAACAAGACGATATCCATTTTGGTTTAATTGAAACTGATATTGGTAGATTACTTGTCTCGTCCTCTTCGACCTGAGCCACTAAAGTCCACCTCGGTGGACATTTTCGATATCATGGATAGGATTAGAGGCCTACGAGCTCATTGTCCATACCTATTTTAAATTAATTCTATACTTCCATGCCCATTTATGAGAGTGACAAAATTTCAACATTTCAAGGTAAAGAATTAAGTTTTCAATTATATTGTTGACTATATGAACTATTTTTTTAAATATAGTTTTTTTTTTAGGGTATGGTATTTCATATTATAGAACATACTAATTTTAAAAAATTATAATATGATAATTTAATTATGAAATTTATATAATTAAATTATAATTCGATGTGACCTTAGATTATTTATATATCCCTCTTACTTATCTCAAAGAATAAACACAGACAGACATTATAGAGTTTATGGTAATCATATTGTTTAGAATTAGACAAAAAAAAAAAAATTATGACATAAAATAAATAATAAATAAACATATATATATATATATATATATAAAAAGAAAGAAAAATAAAAAGAAAACTACGTCATTATCAAATAAAATTTAAAATTATTGAATTTGAAATGACATTTATATTAAAAAAAAATAAAAACATTTCAATTTCCCTGTCATTTCCTATATAAATAAATTTATTTAAATTAAAAATAAATTAAAAAGAAAAAGGCTTTAAATGATGTGTGTAAAATAACTTTCAAGGCGTTGATTTTTGTCGAGCCACGTCATCATCCTATCCAAGAAAAATACATACTCAAACTATAGACAATCCACATTTTCAAAATTTATCAATATAAATAATTAAAATTAAAATAATACTATATTATAAAATGCATTATTGTTACAAAACCTAATCTTATTTGATAATATATATTATTATCTCAAAATTATTATTGATCCTAATTCTTGCCCGGTCGACATTGAGCCTATCCCCCACGTCCAACATGCCAAACAATAATTTATGTAAAAAACATATAGAAACATTTGATGTCTATGACGATTCCTGTTTGATTACTATCTCGGTCAGGGATAAAAATGTACACATAATTTTAAGGCTTAAGTATATATAATTGTGATATTTGAATAAAATACAAGCACGTGAATTAGAGATGTCATGAGACGGGACGAGGACGAAGAAGCTTGCCCAATCTCCACCCTCCTTTTTCACTCCCCGTCCTCGTAAAATTAGTGGAAATCGAGGCAAAGATCCCTCACAAAAATGCCGGGTTACCAACATAAAATTTTAGCGGTATTTTTATTTTAAAAAATGATTTTTTTTTCTGGTTATGTATTCCATTTACAATATAATTTTTATTATAAAAATATATAAAAAAAAAAAATCTAATATAATGGTGACAAACAAACAATATAATATACTATTTTACCAACATAAATTCTAATAAATTAAAATTTAATATTATAACAAAGAAATTTCAACGCATTTTTAACTTAAATATTACAATTATAATATATAAATAATAATATTTACAATCATTTTGACCAAAATTTTACAACTTTTGAGCTTATTAGATAAAATAAAGTACAATATGTAGAAATAAAATCATGAACCATAGGTAGAGAGTAAATAATAATAATAATAATAATAATTGCAAGACAAATAAAATATAAAAAAAAATGATTTATTATAATTTTTAATATATATATATAAGCGGTAACGGGGACGAGGTATATATTTTCCATTATCGATCCCGTTTATCAAATATAGAGAAATCTCTCCCCACTCCATCCCCCAATGGAATGAGAGTGATTATGAAAATATGACGTTTTAAAAAAATTATAATTATTACACGTACCAACAAAACACATTTTTATTTTCGGTAGTTTAAACATAGGAATTTCAAAATTAAGTATGTTTGACGTGGAGCGGACTATTTAAGAACCTCTTAATAATTTTTTGTAAAACATATAAGAGTAAGGACAAAACATGTAATTTTACTCGAGAGACGGGTAGATAGATAATATTGGTACCTAGCTGCTCCCTAATCGTGAACATAGGGCATCAGTAGAGTGGAAAAAGGTGAATTAATTTTGGAAAAATATATTAAAATTTTGAATTAAAATATGTTAAAGAAAAAACAGAAAATTAAATTTAGGCCGGTTTTGCAATTATTATTGCAATAAATAAATAAATAAAAAAGAATATTTTAGGGGGAAAATGATTTCACGCAGCGTAAATTTGGACACGTTTGGTGGTTCCCAACTAATATTTATTGGAATAAATAATTATTAAAAATAATAATAATAATAATAATAAAAAGAATTAATATTATTATTATATCATATTATGATCCAGCTTTTGGTGAATCAATTATCACTCACCGTACTTTCTCATCTATTTTATTTTCCTTCCTTTTTTTCTGTGCTTCTCCTTCCCTCCTTTTCCTCTTCTTCAATCACATCTCTCAAAATACCTTTCCCTTCTCTTCCGCAATATTCAATCTCTTCTTCAATCGCCATAAATCCCTTCACAATTCCTTTGACCTCTCTGTTTCCAACTCTTTCACTTCAATTTCTTTTTGATTCCTTGCTATGAACTACTGTATCACAGGGATTGGATTCTTTTCATCTTCTAAATTCCATCGTTTCCTCTTTTACTCATCTTTGCACTCTCTGACAATTCCGATTTAAACATCCTTTTCTTTCTCCTTTTCTGTTTACTTCCAGAAATTACACTATCTTGCTCTCCCCCCAAAAGACAGAAGAACCCTTTTTTGTTCGTTTTGGGGATTGGGGTTTTGCTTACTCACTAACTTCTGTTTCTTAGATTCTTCCTTCTCTACATATTTTCGGATTTTTTTTTTCAGAAAGTGAAATTTGAAGTATTTTCGGCGGTCTGGAGTTGGGTTTTTGAGCTTTTCTTTCTTTTATTTGAGGCTTGAAGGTTTTTCTTCATCGCCGTGTTTAATTCCAAGTTGGTGGATCTGAGATGGTGTTTGGAGATTGAAATCGTATCAAGGATCTAGGAATTGCGGATTGGTAGTTCAACTGTTCTTATACGGTTAGTGTTTTGGATTGGGCTTTGAGTTGTGGTGATAAAAGGGTTAATCGCGAGGGCTTTAATTCCATTCGAGCTAGATCATGGAGCATGTAATCGGTGGGAAGTTTAAGCTGGGCCGGAAGATTGGAAGCGGATCCTTCGGTGAACTGTATTTGGGTATGCTTATCTGGTGCTTTTGAGATGGATTTTATGGTTTTTGAGAAGCTCTGTAGTTAACATTGATATTGATCTGGATTGTTGTAGGTACTAATGTGCAAACTGAGGAGGAAGTGGCTGTTAAGCTGGTATGTAAATGATCTTCCCCTTCCCCTTCCCCTTCCTTCCTATATTTAGTTCATAACTTAATCATTACTATTTGACTCTGAACCGGTTCTAAGAAAGTCGAGGAATTTCGTATTGTTTGTTGACACGGACGGACGAAGTCAAGGAAAACCTCTGAAATTATTCAATATTGGACCTTGGACATATAAGAGTTCCGAATCAAATCTCTTTAGAAAGAAGATCTTTTGTTTGTTTGTCTCATGGTAGCCTGATAGTATGTTCATGAACTATTCTAGTACGTAACTCGAATTTGGAAGCCCCCTGTGCCTTAGGTTCCTCACTTGCTCCAAACTGGTTGAAGTTTATGGCAGTAAGCATAATGGGGAACGCGTTTGTATCTCTATATTCCTTAACAGTGATATATTTTCCTTGCAGGAATCTGTGAAAACCAAGCATCCTCAGCTTCACTATGAGTCAAAACTATATATGCTTCTTCAAGGAGGAAGTGTGTTTGTTTATCTCTCACTACTTCCCTATTGAGTTTGATTTTGATCTTGTTATTGTTATTCGTTTAGTTTAGTACGCGATCTGTGTGTGTAGCTTATATATTGTTCATTTTGTGAAGCTGGTATACCTCATCTCAAATGGTTTGGAGTTGAGGGTGAGTATAATGTTATGGTTATTGACCTCCTTGGGCCAAGCCTTGAAGATCTGTTCAACTACTGTAATAGGAAACTGTCCTTGAAAACAGTATTGATGCTTGCTGATCAGTTAGTAAGTATGCAGTTCTTGAAAGAAGGTTCAATTCAATAGGGTTATTAGGCTTATTATGTTCATTTGTTTCCTTAGATAAACAGAGTTGAGTACATGCACTCGCGGGGGTTCCTTCACCGCGACATAAAGCCTGACAACTTTCTAATGGGGTTGGGGCGGAAGGCTAACCAGGTATTTAATATTGTGTGTCCCATCTGTGTGTGCCGATTTATTTAGGCCTTTTCTTGAAGATCATACAGCAAAGTTCATTTAAGATGTGTTTGCTATGTGTTTTTGTTGGTAATTTTATAGTGTTGATAATTTTTTATTCTGTAAGCCACGATATAATTACAACTAAATAAGAGCTAGAAGGATGCTTTGATTCAGTCGGTAATTTAATTGTCACGACTCACATTCGATTGTTGAAGTTTTCTGTCTACCAACTTTCCCTACCTGACAATGAGAGGAGAAGCGTAAGGGGTTTATTGTGATCAGGATTCTAATTTCTCTTTGATTGATAAAGCCATATAGACCACTTAGCGTGAGTTCTTCCAATTTGGGATGCAAGAATGGATTGTTCTTGATTAGATTTTAAACAATTCAAATTAATCTTGCCCGTTGTGTTTTGGCTCTGTGTGAATGCGGTGTCTATGGGGCAATGAAAATTTGTTATTTAGAGCTCATGCACGATGACGTTTTCCTAAGAAGCCTGTTGGCTCATTATTGAACAGGTATATATTATCGATTATGGTCTTGCAAAAAAGTATCGGGATCTTCAAACACACAAGCATATACCATACAGGTATTTGAAAACTAGCATCTGATCAAAGTTGTTAGCTTCTTGCTTATCTGATAATTCAAGTGAGAAGCAAAGACGATAATACTGTCCGCGCATTTTCACCTTAATTACTTTCCATTTGGTTGGGTGAAAGTTTTTTTTTATCTGAGCATGCTAGCATCATTGTGCAGTACAACTTGTCTTTGCCAAAACTCCCTTGAATGAATCTATTTATTTCTTGGCAGAGAAAATAAGAATCTCACAGGAACAGCTCGCTATGCAAGTATTAATACCCATCTTGGAGTTGGTAATTGAGCTATTTACTCTTTGATTCATCCATTATGATATTCAATTCTTTGAAACCGTTCCGATATCTATTTAGTATATATTTTGTTTGTTTGCAGAGCAAAGCAGAAGGGACGATCTTGAATCTCTCGGCTATGTGCTTATGTATTTTCTCAGGGGAAGGTTTGATGCTTGTCTTGTGTACTCTCTATTCTTCTTTCTTTTTTAATCCAGTCTAAAATTTAATTTGTTATTTCAGCCTTCCCTGGCAGGGTTTGAGAGCAGGGACCAAAAAGCAAAAATATGATAAGATTAGTGAAAAGAAAATGCTCACTCCTATTGAGGTATTCCTACATTTCTTACTTAATCTGTTGAAGAGAAATAGAATAAATTACTGTTGTTCACCGAAAATGGGCGAACTATTGGCTATATTGGTCATCATGTTAGCTATATGTTTGAGCTATGGTGGCCATTTACTCAAGAATTAACTACCTTACAAGCTTTCTAGGCTGAATTTTGTATCAAACCATTGTCATAGCTCATGGTTATAAAGGAAAGAGATTTTATGTTATAAATGTTTAAACTCGACACGGGAGGCCTTCCATGTTTTTTTAGGTCCTCTGCAAATCTTTTCCAATGGAATTCACATCATACTTCCACTACTGCCGAGCCCTAAGATTTGAAGACAAACCAGATTATTCGTATCTGAAGAGGCTTTTTCGCGATCTTTTCATTAGAGAAGGTTAGTCCTATCCTAACGCCTACTCGAACTATTTGCAGTCACAGTTGAAGACCTTATGTTGTTGCATCCTCCTCCATTTTCAACTGAAGTTTCCATGAACTGTATCAAAAGTGGTGATAATGGGCATGACACTTGTAATTTTCGTTACAGGTTACCAATTTGACTACGTGTTTGACTGGACTATATTGAAATATCCCCAGATCGGCTCCAGTTCAAGGACTCGAGTATGTATCTAAATACTTTCCACGTTGTCAAGGGAAATGAGATGTAAAGCAAGAACTATATTTATTTACCTTGATAGTTTCTTATCTTAATGTTCTTATTCTTGTTTCTTTTCATGATTTGATCATCAGCAGCCAACTGGGAAAGCCGCTGTAAACCCTGGACCATCTGCTGAAAGAGTGGAGAGACCTTTAGGTATGTCCCTTATCCCTGCAAGGTATCGAAGTTTGTTTTAAAGCTCGCAAATGCTGATATTTCCTATTTCAACTAGTTGAACCATATGGTCGTGTCGAGGTCTTGTTGCACTTGGGTCGTTGATGTTCGACTGGATTGTCTATTTGTTCCTTTAAATTGTTTAGTTGAACATACTCTCTTTGAATGTCATTTAGTGGGACAAGATCTCCGCGATAAATTTTCGGGTGCCGTGGAGGCTTTTGCTAGAAGGAATGGCACTGGACATGGTCTACACAGTGATCACTCCAGACACAGATCCTCTGATGATGTGCCTTCCTCCAAGGATGTGGTGAGTTGAATCATCCACAAGAAAATCATATACTAGAATTCTTTGCCTTTGGTTGCTATCCAGTTATCTGGTAATATTATCTCCAGTTATAGTATTTCTCTACCTCCTCCAATATTGCAGCAACCGGATTCGGAAAGAGCACGGAGTTCTTCTCGACAAGGGAGTGCTTCTAAGAGACCTATCTTATCCAGCAGCCGGCCTAGCTCCTCTGGGGAGCCAAGTGAACTCCGCTCAAGCCGACTTTTCTCAAGCAGCAGTCGTCTGTCTGCTTCTACTCAACGAGTTGAGCCAAAATCATCCTTCCTCCGTTCTTCGGTTACAAAAGGCAGCCACGATGATGCCCTTCGAAGCTTTGAACTATTATCGATTGGCACCGGAAAGAAGAAATAAGAAGCAATCATCGGGTGAGGGAATGCATGCTTTCTCTGTTGTTCCCGTTGGATTGCATCAATATGATGATGATTTCTAACAATTGTATGGTGTCTTCATATTCATCTCTGGATTCCATCCTCAGGTATGGAACTTAAAAAAACTCTCTCCCACCTCCCCTGCCTCCCCCGACCCGCCCCCAGTATGTATATGTGCCTCTTCAGGGGTTCATATCAGTTTATATAAACCTTTTAGACCATGAAACAGAGAGAAATTAACAAAGCTCCGGGAAATTGTTGATACATTTGAGGCAGCTGTAACTGTAATAAGTACCTCTAGCATATTCATTCTTTCATGGTAAAGAGTTTCGACATGAACCCGGGAGACTTCGATGATAATGATGCAACGGATGGAGATGACTCCAGCGATGTTTTTTTTTGTTCTTGGATGATGAATAGAAAGAAACCTCAGCTTTAACTTTCTTGTGTTAATTATACATCTGCTGCTGCTACTGTTACTGTTTTCTTATGAGGATCTGATTTTCCAATGACTTTTACTTTCCCTTTCAATTTCAAATAATATGCCTGTAATGGGAAGAACAAATATTTGCCTTTATGGATGATAGTGTGCTTTCGAACAGTTCAAACGAGTTCATCCGATCTAATATTTTATTTTTACTCTTACACCATAAATAGGTGGAGATTCTTGTAGAACTCTGTAACTCACTAAGAGATATACAACAGGAAGGACTGAATAGACTGAATAGAATTTTTTAATGTTCGGTGATCTTACATGTGTTGATATCGATGATAACTGAATCATTTTATCAGGACGTATAAATTATGTAAATTTCATGAAAATTTTGATATTTCTTATTTTTGAAAAAAAAATCTAAAATGTTGAATGTTGATGATTCAAATTCTTCACCGCTACTGTTAGCTCGAAAGGAATGGTCCTACGTTTTAGCAACTCGAGTACGTTTTAGCAACTCGAGTGCAAATTTGGGAAGACATTAATGCTTTTGGCAACTTTATGGTCCGTCCTAACTCAAAAGTTCTTCATTAATAATCATTGTTTTAAATTCACAAACTTTTTGTATGATCAGCCCCTTCATTGTCTCACATCCTATCGATAAAAGAATAATTTTTGCAGTATTGTAATCATGCCCGTAAAGATGTCCGATATGAAAAAAAAAAAGATAACATAATATGTCGTTCCGTTATAGAGATTTTAATTGGCCAAGCCATCGCTAGAAAATATTATCTTCTTTAATTAGTTGCATATCACCGTTAACCTCATAATTTTAAAAGTTTTGTTCTCTTCTTCAATGAATGTTTTGTTCTCTTCTACAATCGCTGTGAGATCTCTGGAGAGAGAATGTCTGACTAACAACCCAAGTCTACCACTAGCAAATATGGTCCACTTTGACGCGTTACATATCGCCGTCAACCTCATTATTTAAAAACATGTATGTTAGATCTTATAAGGAATGTTTCGTTCTCCCCTCCAACCGATGTGAGATCTTAGGCTAACTCATTTCTTGAAAACAAAAATAAAATAGAGAAAACTTATGAAATCTTGAATTTTTAAACGGTGTAGTAATCTTCATTTTCTTTAAGCCTTTCTTAGTCATTCTATTTTCGGTATTACTCTTATTCGGATGTGACTCAGTTCATTCATATACTTTTCCTTTACTCGAGTGTCACATATATATACAAAATCAACCCAATTTAACTACTTGGCTTGACGTATTTCGAAGAAAAGTATTTGATGATTTCAACATTCATCTGTGACGTGACTATATTATTTACTTGTGTTAAAGTGTTTTAAGTGTAACAAAATTTGGTAATAAACCATTTTTCTTGCATCAAAATCAAAATTAGTTAATTTTTTTAGTTAACATATAAATTAAATTTTTTAACTCTAAATCTATGTCTATATAATTCTAACATTTAATTTATTTTTCTAATGTCAAGAATATTTCACATTCAATTTTCATAATTATCCAACCTAATAATTCGTTTATTAGTATTTTCAAATAAAGGTTCAGTTTTTTAAGCAACAGCCCCACCAGACCAACCACAGCCCTCTGAATCTCTGGGTTCTGGCGACCGACAGCAGTACAAGCCTGAGCCACTCAGCGCCCAACACCCACAGCCTTTCTCACGAGAAGCTCATCTCCTTTTGATCTTTGAGCTCCCAAATTGTAAGAATAAAAGAAGGTTTCTCCGTAGCGACAACGTACTTCCAGGAATTGCCACTCAAAACTCTCATTTATTGTAAGTGGGTCTCTCTCTTTCTATCCTGTTTTTCTTATTTGAATCTGGTAATTTTCACTTCCGTAACCTGTTTGATATAATGCCTCTGAGACACATTCCCATGTCTTTGAAAAACTAGTGGGGCTATGAATGCCCGCAACCTGTTTGATATAATGCCTCTGAGACACATTCCCATGTCTTTGAAAAACTAGTGGGGCTGTGCATGCCCGCAACCTGTTTGATATAATGCCTCTTAGAAAGAAAAAAAGAATATATAAAATTGGTGGGGCAATGCCTTCGAGAAAAACGTTCCCATCTCATTAAAACTAGTGGGACTGGGAGTGTGTCCATGGACATGTTTAATATAATGCCTCTAAGAAACAGTTCCATTATTTTGGGGTACTTGGTCGGTGTTGGTGACTCGAGAAACCTGTTTGATGTAATGCTTGTAAGAGACATTGTCATTTTGTTTATAAGAAAACCCAAAAAAACTAGTGGAGTTGTGGTTGTGGGTGATGGCCATAAACTTGTTCGATGTAATGTCTCTAAAGGACATTTTGTGAGATTTCACGTCTGTTGAAGAGGGAAACGAAACATTCTTGGTAAGAGCATAGAAACCTATTCCCAAAAAGATAGCGTTTTAAAATTGGTAGGCTGATAGCGGTACGTAACGGGCCAAAACGAACAATATCTGCTAGTGGTAGACTTTGCCTGTTACAAATGGTATTAGAGTTAGACATCGGGTGGTGTGTCAACGAGGACACTGGGCCTTTTAAGGGGTAGATTGTGAGATTCCACATCTCCGATGTTAACAAAACATTTCGTATAAGAGTGTGAAAAATTCTTCTTAATAGACTGTTTTAAAATCACGAGTTTGACGACGGTATGTAATAGATTAAAATGGATAATATCGACTAAAAGCGAACATGGACAATAACACATTTAATACACCCTTTTGGCTTTCTAGAATCAGTCCGGGAAAAATGGTGTTCAGTTCAAGATCATGAGGAAGTTATTTATATCAACTCCTGGTTCATTAATTGCATCAAAAGCTGGTGAAAATTGGGTGTTTTATTGGGGACAAAGGGAGGGGATAGGCGAAGGCCAACCCCACTGCATGCCCTATTAACTAGTCAGTAAATTGTCCTTAGTGCACAATAATTCCTTTCATTATTGTCTATTCAAGCTGTGTCATAATTTTCTTATTGATTATTTAGTATCTTATAAGAAAAGAAAAGACAATTTTATATTTTAATTTTTGATAAATTATTATTTTTGTTCCTGTGTAGAAAGCTAGAATTTAATCTGGTTTAATAAAATTTACGGCAGTTATTATTTATGATAATTTTATTAAATCATAAAGACTAAATTCTATTTATTTTTTATAATTTAAATTAAAAAAAAAATAGAGAAGGAAAATAAAAGGAAAATAAAAATCTTCTAACTCTTATAAAATTACATGAATTAGGGTTCAAGGTTCAGCAACCCACCCTGGAGGTATTAATGAATAGTAAAAATCCATAAAGAATAAGGGCAGTTTAGTCATTCCAACAGTAGTTCTTCTGACTTCTCGTGAAATGGAATTTAAATTTAAAAAGAAACCCGAGGAAAATAATATGAAGAGATTAACAAATTAAATTAAAAAATTTAGTCTTACAAGTTTTAAATTTTCTAAATTTTTAATTTTGTATTAGAAAAAAATAATTATTAGCCATCAATTGAATTTTTTTATTTAGTTAATGGTTAATTCTATATCCAATAAATTTGTAAATTATTTAAAAAAATATCGAACAAACCAAAAATTATTAAATATAAAATTGAATAATAAAAAATTTATAAACCTATCAGACGAACCCAAAGTTGACATATTCTATATTTTTTAAAATTAGAAATTTATTTGACCAAGTTCAAATATTAAATCTTTAATTATAATCATTATATATATTTCTTACTTTATTAACATTAAATATAATTATGTGGTTAATTTTAGAAAAATGGGTAAGTATTAATAAGAGTGTGGTAAAAGGGGCCAAATTCGTAAATATTGTAATTAGTGGGGCGTTAATTGTGGAACAAATTGAAATTAAAATAAGGGTTGTTTGGTACTATTGACAAATATTCAAACCCAAATTCAAAATGACACCCACCCTCCCAAAATGTTAAGAAAATGCCAGCCAATCACACGTCACACATATATCTAAAATTCTAGTTCACGTAGCCAAACAATAATAATAATTAAATCAAATAATTGATGCAGTTTTTCTATTTTTATTTTTTAATAACAATCTTTTTTTAGATAAAAATTAATATTTAATTTTAAATTTTAGGAGGGTATAAAATTATGGTTAAGAAAACCTAAAACATAATTGATAGTTTTAATATTATTATTTATACTAATAATGTATACTCGATTTGGATAGCGAGTGAAAATAAGACATAAGACATTTTAAAATTGTATGTTATATATATACTTTTAAATAATATAAAAATATAAAAAAAATTAAAAAGAAATTTGATAATATAAAAAAGTAGGACTAATTTAAAATATAAATGCTAATAATAAATATTTAATAATGTATTGATTAATTCTATTAAAATTTTAAAGTTATATTTTTAATTGTTTTGTATATGTATATATTTATTTGAGATCTCATATAAATATTAGAATTTTTAATTTTTAATTTTGACCCTATTTATAACATAATACTTTAAGCCATCATAATTTATTTGTGACGTTAGGTTGAATCGTTGAATCGTGATTAATTAACAAATTGAAGTAAATAAATTAGGATTAAATTTAAATTATATGAATATATAATAAAATATTAATATTTTAATCTGAACATAATTCAACAAAGATAATCACTCTGACTTCAGTTGTATCACCGTCGGGTTGTCTTTCAACTTTATTCAGTTTTCCAAATATACCCCTCATCTTCTCTCCATTTTCCCTTTCAGCCCAACCAAAAACGGTTCCACTCTCTTTCCTCTCTTGCTCTTGGATTCTTCTGCTGTCGCATCTCTCTCTCTCTCTCGCTTATGGCAGCTGCCATTAAAGCTCATCTTTAGAGCTAAATGACCTTTCTCCCTTAGGTGTCTTCTTCAACCTTTTGCTTAGAGTTTAGAGCTCATCTTTTGCTGGCACAAACCTGCTTATTTCGGTATGCTCTGTTCTTTCGACGATTGGTTTCTTTCTCCTGTCCTTCTACTTCTTGTTCTGATCTCACAGTTACGGCTATTTCGTTTGTTTTTGTATTGTACTTGTTGAGTTTTGTTGTTCTGATTGTTTTCTGTCTCAGCAATGAAGTCCTCGACTCAGCTTGATTTCGCTACTTTTCAGCTCACACCTACTCGAACAAGGTTTATGTTCTTCGCTTATTATACGAGTTAATTTACAATTGTTAGCCAATGTTCGAAGAATTAGATTAGATGGCTTGCTTTTGATTTGCTGTCTATTGTTCTGATGAACTTCTTTGTTTCATTCGATCCGCCATGCCGCGTTCTATTTTAGAAGCCGATTCATGATTTTAGTGTTACTTTCACGTTGATTAGTTCTTGGTGCATAATATCCTTTTCGTTTTATTTTGTTGAATTTTGTTAGGATATTGACTAACTATCACCATTTTCTTCTAGGTTTTTTGTTTCATAGCATTTCTTTTTAAAATCAAGTATTTATTCCTTTCATTCACATATCAGGTGTGATTTGATATTATCTGCAAATGGGAAGTCCGAGAAAATAGCTTCTGGTTTGTTGAATCCTTTTCTTGCCCATTTGAAGATTGCACAAGAACAGATGGCCAGAGGTGGTTATTCCATTATTCTTGAGCCAGATCCTCACAGTGATAGAATATGGTTCACAAAGGGTACCATGGAGAGGTTGTATTTTTATTGTGAACATTTGCCTTAGTATTGAGTTTTTTGGGCAATTCATGTTAGTAGATAGTCATATACTGATGAATTTTGCCACCATTAGGTTTGTCCGATTTGTAAGCACCCCTGAAATTTTGGAAAGGGTGTACACTATTGAGTCAGAGATCTTACAGATTGAGGAGGCAATTGTGATTCAGGGCAACAGTGACATGGGGCCTAATGTTGTAAGTATATTCTAGCGTATTAGTAACACTTAACATGTTGACATAAAATCCATCTTTCAATCCACTTTCATCTAACAGGTAGATGACGAGCAAGGAAAGCCTACAAAGCTTATAGAAGGTGCCACCGAAGGTACTAAAATCAGTGGAGGCCTGTAGAATATTTTCTTTCCTTTTCTTAACATAGATTAGTTTCTATTTGAGTTGATCTCTGATAGGAATGGCATTAGAAATGTTATGGAGGTATTAAAGATATGTTAGCAATTAGCCTAGGAGTTTGTTAGGAGAGTTTTGTTATAAATAGTGTAGGTTAGAAAGGATGAATCTAGGTATTGACTAAAGTTAATTTAGGCTTGAGTTTCCTCAAGGGAGAGAGGGTCCATGTTCTTCAAATTACTTGGTTTATCTTTTATTTTGCAATATATTGTTGGTTATATCAATATCCTGGTCTTGGATAATTTGGATAATTTGGATAATTAGAATATTGCAACACCCCAAGCACATTGCTAGCATATATTGTCCGATTTGGTTCTTTATGTATCGCTGTCAGCCTCATGGTTTTAAAACCATGGAATTGACGACAAACCAACGTAGACAATATTTGATAGCGGTGGACTTGTTGTTACAAATGGTGTTAGAGTTTGACACTGGGTGGTGTACCAACGAGGATGTTGGGTCCCCAAGGGGGTGGATTGTGAGATCCCATATCGGTTGGAGAGGGGAATGAAACATTCCTTATAAAGGTGTAGAAACCTCTCCCTAATAGACGCGTTTTAAAATCGTGAGGTGGACAACGATACGCAATGGGTTATAGTGGACAATATCTGCTAGCGGTGGGCTTGGGTTGTTACAAATGGTATTAGAGCCAGACAATGAGCGGTGTGCCAGCAAGGACGCTGGCCCCCAAGGGCGGTGGATTGTGAGATCCCACATCGGTCGGAGAGGAAATCGAAACATTCCTTATAAGAGTGTGGAAACATTCCCCCTAAAAAAACGCGTTTTAAAAACCGTGAAGTTGACGGCTACACATAACTAACCAAAGCGGACAATATCTGTCAACGGTCGGCTTGAGTTGTTACAAATATAGTCATTTTTCCTTGTTCTTTTTTCTTATGGTGCTTCTTTTTTCTTTTCTTCACTCTTTTCTTTTTCAAAACATTTTTGAATATGAAGCTAAAGTTCTGTTAACTAACTCAATATTTATGTGCCTTGCATACTATGCAATTTTAAAAATAAATTGATTCATGAATGAGAACACTGGTTTTTAACAGCAAGCAAGTCTCTTCTGGATGGTAATGAGGAGAAAGCAATTGTTCTGTACATGGTATGTGGTACTCAAATATGCTCTTTAAACAACTTTCAGTTTTTTATATTAATTTTCTTTGTTTAAAACATGTCAGCCAGATGCGCACTCACTGGAGACCAATGGACATACAGTGTTAGAGGAGAACTCGAAGTACATACCATCTCTAGTCATTGTCAATTACCTGCTAGACTCGAATAGATTTGTAATATGATCTACTCTATGAACAATGGCTAATACTCATTTAGTTAAGGGCAATTATCTAGTGAAGATTTATGACTTTTGCTGCGAGTACTTTTAATTTCATTTAATCCCTTTTAGAGCTCAGCTTCTGAAAGTCCTGGAGACACGCAAAGCTATGCTTCAAAAGGAGCAAGGAATGGCATTTGCTCGTGCTGTTGCTGCTGGTTTTTACATTGATCAGATGTCACCATTGATATCATTTGCCAACAACTTTGGAGCCTCACGATTGATGTATGCAGAGATTCATATTTCCAGCTATATAAAAAAAGCATTATGTTAATGTTTACATCATTTTTCTTGCAGTTTGTTAATGTGAATTATTTGCTGCAAAAAACAGGGATGCATGCGTAAAATTCAAAGAACTATGGAAAAGAAAGCATGAAAGTGGCCAATGGCTCGAAATTGAAGCAGCAGAAGCACTATCCAGCAGGCCAGATTTCTCCCCTTCCATGACTGCATCAGGGATTATACTTACAAGTATGACTGACAAGCAGACAGAATCTCAAATTGAACCATCTTCAACAAATAAGGGGAATGCAATTGCAGGTGAGATATGATGATAACATTAGAAATCTGACGGATTTTGGTTAAAAATGTCTCGTAAACTGAAATCTTCCAAGTTATAGTCTTAGACTTGGAATGTTCATGCGGCATCATTATATTTATGAAGAGTAACAACCATGTGGCTAATTTTTAGTGATAGTCTAATCAAATTACAATGAAAGCTGAACTCAGAGCCTCTTGGTTTTGTATCAAATCCGTGCTCTTAGAAACTCTTCATTTATTATATGTGCTTTATAGAATGTTTCTCTTACTCTTCTTAATTTTGGGTTAAAGGATTTTTTGTCCACTTACTCGCCCAGATGGAAATCCGCCTATGATATACCAGTCACCACCAGGACACCAAGAGTATCTTCCAGGGCAGTATCCTCCTCATATGTACCCTCCCTGGCCCATCAATTCTCCTCCAGGTTCATTACCTGTCTTCCAAGGATATCCCATGCAAGGAATGCCTTACTATCAGAACTATGCAGGAAGTAGCCCTTTCTTTCATTCGCATTATCCAGTAACAGAGGATTCTAGATTTGGTGACGGTAAGAAAATGGGAGGAAAAAGGCATTCCATGGAAAGTGGAGATAACTCCATTGGACCAGAAACATGTAAGACGAATGCTTGGAAAACAAGAATGCCTGATGATGCAGGATCAGAGCAAGAAGATTCAGAAGATCAGAGAAAAGGTTGTCGATTAGGTAAGAAGAAATCAGGCGTGGTTGTCATCCGCAACATCAACTACATTGCATCGAAGAGGCATAACTCATCAGGCAGTGAAACGGATTCACAATCTGAAAGTGAAAGTGAAGAAGGAGATTCACAGGTTATTAGTCCAGAAATTAAACACAAGAGGCCTAATCAATCCTCTAGGAGCAAAGGAAAGCATCTAAATTTTGGGGATCAATCAAACACTCCTGCAAAAACTGATTCCCCTGAAGCTGAAGGACATTGGCAGGCATTCCAAAACCTTTTACTTCGGGATGCCAATGAAGAAAAACATCATGCTGATCAAAGTCTGTTCACCATGGAAAGGGAAACAAAGCAGAAAAGGCGACAGAATAAAGTTGGTGATGATCCATTAGTTGCTCAGGGATGGAACAGAGATGAAATCCAAGAAAACGGTACTATGGGCATTGATAAAGTTGGTGGAAGAATCAACCGTGTATCAAGAGCATCAAATGATGAATTATTAACTTCCAGAAGAGATAGTCTATCAGGGCATAGCCATATGAATGTGCAGGCTACAGAACTAGATGGAGGAAGAAATGGCTACAGGAGGCCCGGTAGTGATGATTTTGTGGTTTATGGACAAAAGGGTCAAAGTCACTCTAATGGCCACTTGGATCCATTAGCTATAAATGGCTTTGATAATACACAAAAAAGCTATGATAAAAACTCTTCAAATAATTTGGATGGTGGTTCTTACATAGTTCCATTGAGATCAATGACAATGGATGCAGTTGGAAAAGACGGTAGAAGTGCTGTTGACATGGATTCTGAGTTTCCATCTTCAAATCATAAGGCAGAAAACTTGTCCAACAGAGTTGCTACCTATGAGCCAGATGTTCTGAATCTGATGCCAAAGCGTGAAGCAGAAAATGATCCTGCTGGTTATGATCCTGCTTTAGAATATGAAATGCAGGTCCATGCTGGATGCGTACCAGCTTCGGATAAAAAAAAGGAAGTGGTAACTGATGTTAAACAAGGGACTAAAAGGTTGGACAAGGATCGAAAGCCAAAAATTACTCCTGATAGAAAAACTGGGGGGCCAATAAGGAAGGGAAAGCCTTCTAAGTTGAGTCCTTTGGATGAAGCAAGAGCACGTGCTGAAAAGCTAAGAGCTTATAAAGCTGATCTCCGGAGATTGAAGGAGGAGAAGGTATTATGTTAAAAATGTTTTTCTTCACAATCATATCTAAGCAGAACCCTGAATCTTGAGTAGTTAAGTGATATGGGAACGAACTATATATCCCGCATGTATATTAATTTTCTTGCAAGTCACGTCCTAGTTGCAGATTTTTTTTTCTTTTCTGGCTAGTTTGTTCTGGATATGTGACTGGTTAGAAATCAAAGAACTCCACAGTGATATGATATTGTCCACCTAAATTAGTCAATATGAGACTCTCTCCCAACCCTCCTCCCCTCGAACAAAGTACACCATAGAGCCTCCCCTGAGGTCTATGGAGCCCTCGAACAGTTTCTCCTTAATTGAGGCTGGACTTCTTTCTTTGGAGTCCTCGAGTAAAGTACACCCTTTGTTCGACACTTAGTCACTTTTGACTACGCTTTCGAAGTTCACAACTTCTTTGTTTGACATTTGAGGATTCTATTGACATGGCTAATTTAAGGGCATGACTTTGATACCATGTTAGAAATCACAAAACTCCACAATGGTATGATATTGTCCACTTTGAGCATAAGCTCTCATGGCTTTGCTTTGGGCTTTTCCAAAAGGCCTCATACCAATGGAGATGTATTCCTTTACTTATAAAAATCCACGATCTTTCTCTGAATTAGCCAATGTGGGACTCCCTCCCAACCATCCTCAACATAACTATTCTAATATCTTCCTGGTTTTTTTCTATCCAGGAGGAGGAGGCAATAAAAAGAATAGAAACTTTGAAGCTAGAGAGGCAGAAGAGAATTGCAGCAAGGGGTAATAGCACATTGCCCTCTCAGCAAACTAGAAAGCTATTGCCAACAAAAATGTCACCCAACTCTCAGAAAGGATCAAAATTTAGTGATTCAGATCCACTATCATCATCTCCTCTGCAAAGGTTCCCAATCAGAACGGCTTCAATTAGTTCCAATGATTCCAACAAAGCTGCAAAACCCAGCAGATTGGTTGGTGGAAAGCAATCAGCTGAAAATAGGTTAACTCAATCTGTATCTTCATTAGCTAAGCTCAAGAAGGATAACAATGATGCTTCAAATGACAAAAAAGTATCCATGGCTCGTATTAGAAGATTATCAGAACCAAAAATGAGCACCAGCGATCATGCTTCTTCCATCAAGATACGGACCACCGAGCCAGCATTAAAGGCAAAAGTAACTAAGGAGACAGAGAACAAAAAAAAGATACCTAATGAGACTGAAAGCAAAAAGAAGATATCTGCTATAATGAATTTGGATAAGATCAAGGCTGCAACTCTTCCAGAACTTAAAATTAGAACGCCTAAGGGACCTGGCGCTACAATTGGCAACTCAATAGGAACTGAAGGTGCTTGTGCTTCCATGGAAAGAAACACGGCTGAAGTCTCACATCATAATGAACTGGATGACAACCCTGTTGTTGAGAAGACTGTTGTTATGCTAGAATGTGAGAAGCCCTCCATCTGTACAGGAAAACCTGATGTCCCATCAGATTTTTCTGCCACCAAGGCTTTTAATTCCCAAATTGAAGTGTCCTGTGTCAATAGAGAATCCATCAAGCAAAAATCACAGGATCAGTTGAGTTCTCATGAGGTATGATTGACTACTGCCTCAGATGTGGAAAGTTTATCAGAGAATTCTTTGAACAGTGTGATGCTTACAGAACAAGTTGAACCCTTAGAATATAAGATTCCTTAGCATTGATTGTAGGTGGAATGCAGCATAATTCTTAGCTCTCTCTCTCTCATTTCTTACAGTAGTTCAAAGAAAAATCATAGTCATTGGAAATGAATATCATTTACTATTTATTATTTTTCCATGATCACTCATTATCGCATGACAATAGTGCCCCCAGAAGGAACAAGAAGAAGAATAAGAAGAGTTTCTTGTAAGGCAAGGCCTACTGCTGATGCATTGGGTAATACTAATGCAGTAACACTATTGGTATATTCAACAGGCCAAACGGTGCTTCAAAAAGATTACATTTGATTATTTTTTTTTATGTACAAACCTCACAATTGCACTATACCGGAGTGCTTTGATTGGTATATGAAATGTCTCCGTTTCTCAATCATTTGATCTTTATCGACTTGAAAAGCATCCTTAATCCTTTTCTTTGACTCAACAGATTTCATTATCCTGCTATCCTGCAATGATGCTATGTTTAATAGACAGCCTTATAAACAAACCTCCTGTGTTCAGGTGACAGCGGATGGTGCAGATCAGGAAGCACAAAAGTTTTCATCTCCTAGTATTACTGAAAGCATATATAAAGCTCCACACGCCCGTGTATCTTCTTTTGAACATCCTTGCACACGCGTTTCAGAGTATGGAAAAGCAACCCCACCAGATTTGGAGAGTGCAACATCAGGCACTGAAACTGCTAAAGCCTATGTTCCTGATTATGGAAACGCACAATTGGCAAAGATTCCTGAAGCATCAGAGAAGTCTGAGGTAAAAAAATCATCAAAAGGGCTCAGATTATTATTAAAGTTTGGGAGAAAGAATCATAGCTCAGGTACAGATGAACATAATGAGGAATCAGATAATATCAGCGAAAATGATTCTGAAGCCAATGATGTTGGGGCAAATACCACTTCTCACAATGAAGGTAACGTACTTATAGAACACATTTTAGTTGTTTGATAATGTCAAGAAGATGACTGAAATGCCTATATTTCTAGTAACAATCAAATACAATTTCTTTAACTATTATGGAAGATTTCTGTTCTTCTGGACTTTTTTAACCATTATGTTGAAGGATGCAAAGTTCAATTTTGACAAAAATGCGGCTATAGATGTTTCCATGTGTATTTTTCTGTGAGCTGACTATATTGCTTTGTTACCCCTTTGTTTGCTGTCATCAGTTCCTACACTGAAAAATCTGATTTCTCAAGACGAAACTCCCACTGCCAGCAAAACTCAGAAGTGTAAGCATTTCCAAAGATTTGACATGTTTCTATTTTCATCATGATTCCGAGATTGAATCCATTTTTTGTTCTTGCTACAGCTTCTCGTGCATTTTCCCTGCTATCACCTTTCCGAAGCAAGAACAGTGAAAAGAGAAGTGCATGACACGCCACAATTTTGTGGTGCTGCTAAATATGTATGTAAAGTCGAGGAACCATCAAGTTCAACCTTGTGTTTTGCAGGGCGCAAGCCTGATTGGGTTATGAAGAACGCAACGGTTTGTTTTTTTATCCTTTTACTACTGTGGCTATATAGAAAAAGTTTTAGTAACGTTATCTTAAACATGGGCATTGTATATTTTACATATGTGTTCCAGTGATGAACTTCCCTGTAGTATCCATTATGGCTTTATTAAATGAAAACCAGTTTCAAATTATGCAACATTTGATCTACTGTTTAGCTGGTTGCAGCCATGACCACGAACAGAAAAAAAATGGTGTCTCATACTACTCAAGGAATGGAGGAACATCTCTTGGGACAAGTCGAATACCTTTCCATTGTTTCGTTTCTTCTCGAATGTGCTCATTCGATCAACGAGATGTGGGACAGACATCAAGCTTGAAATAGGTACTTGTGTTGTTACTAATATGATAATCAATCATCAATTCATAATCATCATAGAATTTGCTGCCTTTTACTAGTAGTTATTTGCCGTTACCTGTTTATGCATATCATTTTAGAAACGGAGCTATTTATGTCCATATGAATCCTTTCATTTCATTCACAGCACTAGAAAATGGCAGCATTTCTCTTACCAGGTTAACAAGATCATGTAATGAAAATGAAAGCTTATCCCCTCCCATTCTTAGGAAAAAGATATTTGATACCCAAATTTTGCACCGTTAGAGGTATGAAAGAGTAATTGCATATGTAATGGCCCACATTTAAATGATGACTAATAGAAGTAGGTAGGGTAGCTCTATGCTTCTTTGCTCGACTTTGACTTTTCATATTTGAAGTGATTATCTTACTTTGGCGTAACGATTAAAATATTGATGAACAAATTATATATTGACTTTTATATTTATGTTAGTGAGTCATTGATAATTCTTTTTATGTTATAAGCATTTTTCTTTTGTTTTGTGGGACATAATCTCTTCTAGTTAAGTCGACACTTCAAATAGGCGAAAAGAGAAAGGGAAAACAATATATAAATGGAAGGAAGAAACATGAAAGTTCTTGATTATTATCATACAGCCTTTTTCTGCGATTTGAAAAGGCCTAACTACTAGCAAGAACCTCAAGAACACCGAATAAAATTTAAGCAATAAGCTCACCAAAATTTGCATGATTTTGGATGAGAATTCAGGAATCAGTTTCAGTAAATACTATATGGCTGATATTTACACAATAGCCTTTATAACTCCAACTGTAAACAAATTAGTAAGAAAATAGATAGGAAGAAAAGGATTGATATATTTAGTCAAAACGAATGACCAAACAAGAAATGTTACTCTTGCTCATTCTTGTGGAGGCCTCCTTCGCCAAACACTCTGCTGCTTCTTGTGGGTCTTCCATGTGTCTTATCAGATTCACAACCTCTTGGTTCTTCATAACCTGTTTTTTTTTTCCCCAAAAAAAAATCTTAATATATGATGTTGCCTTCAAAACTGGGGTTTCATACATTTATTAGGAACCAAGATCTATTCAAGCGGAAGATGTAGATGTTCTTAATCTTTAAATCTTACCTCCCATACGCCATTGCTTCCCAGTACCATAAACTCAGTTTCTGAGTAGACTCTTTTAGTAGCAACCACAATTTCGGAGCTTGTCCGGAGCTTCATTCCTATGAAGATGATTGCTCGAGTTAGTAGTTATCTGATAAACGTGCATACTTGCATTCATATGATAATATTCACTGTTTAGACTTGATCTGAAAGGCTTTCATGCTACGTATTATATAGTCTTTACATGGGACAATTTTCAAGAATAGGCGGTGATACGTGATACGTAATCACGTATCAGTTATAAACTAAGAATATCTGTGATGTGGGATTTTTGGTTGTTTCCTTAACTAATGTCAATTGGGTTTGGAAATGGAGTTCAGAGTCATTTCTTTCCTGAGCAAATTTTGAAGAGAGATTACCGAGAGTTAATCTACGATGCCAATGTTGCTTAGATGAATGTTGATCACAGCTTATTTGATGAGCCACACCATCTTCACACACAATGGCTCTATAGTCCCCCATGCAAGTAATCACCAGTCTATCTCCATCAATTACCAAAACTGAAGCTGATCCCATTCTCCAAGGCCCCTTCCCTTCATTTTCATCTCTCGTCTTTGTTTTTGCACTCTGATGCGCTTTCTTCATTGCCTCTGTTCCCTTCCCTTTCATCTGACGCTGCAAGTCAATATAACATTTCATGTACAAAATAACCTTCAACTTTACCAACCAAACAATAAAGTTAGCTGTGTTTATAGAGCTGAAAACTGTGTGTTTGGAAGTGGAAAAGTTCTTAAAGTGTTCATCCATTAAAAAACGTTCATAGCATATTTCATCCTTCTAAGAGGCAGTGGAATTGAAATCAAGAACTCTCAGCCTCACGATTTTAAAAATGGTCCAGTAAGGAGAAATTTCTACACTCTTATAAAGAATGTTTCATTCTCGGGTGCTCACCACTCTACTACTAGGGAGAGTGTTCCACACCCTTATAAGAAATGGTCCTTATAAGGAATGCTTTATTCTCTTTTCCAATCGATGTGGGATCTCATATGCATCCTTTGGGATCTCATATGCATCCTTTGACCAACCTAACGTGGGACCTCAGATTATGAGCATAACTCATCTTCTAAGAAGTGGTAGGTTTTAAGTCCAAAATTCAACCCTCAAATATACTGAAAGAAGAAAAAAGAACGAGGGAATCTTGAGATATACCTCTTTGAAGTTCCTATTAAAGAAATGAGTTTGCATGAACTTGATGACTTTGTCACCAATTTTAGGATCAAAAACCCCAAAAAACCAAAACTCCACCCCTTCAATCTGCTCTCTCTGCACCACAACTGAATCGTTTTCCGATTCCTCTTCCCAAATACTCGAGCACGACTGATCCGCCACAACGTGATACCCATGGGTCACCGGCGCCATCCACGATTGCTTACTCACCGACACCGATGATGGCCGTCGCTTTTTCCTTGTATTCCTCATCATGAACTTTCCAAACTGAAACGCCTACAAAAATTTACACCATAATCACCCATTTTCAGATTCCCATTTTACAGTCCCTCGCCATTGATGAAAACCGAGGAGAAGGAGGCGAAAATGCAATAAACAGAGCTTTCTAAAAAAACTCCATCAACCAGAGTATTCTGAGCTTTGAAGCAAGAAAGGTCCATTTGAACAAACAAACAAAAAAAAAAAAAAGTTACCTTGAGTTTGTGACGAATATCTTTAAGACCCATCTGCTGAAACTTGAAGAAATGAAACCCCTGGATGAACACAAGAAAAATCAAGCGAAAATAATCACATGGGTCCGTGGGATTTCCCTTGTTTACACTGAAAACAAGAGTGTTTCGTGGGATTTATCAATGGGGTTTGGATTTTCTGGAGCGGCGCTTGAAGTGGTGTTAAGAAGCTGAATTGGAAAAGGGTTGTTGTTTTCTAGGGAGAAGGAGAGGGAGAGAGATTTGGTTAAATCTTATTGAGACTCCATTTTTGGGTGAATGAATTGGCAACATAATTATTAATTGTCTGTTAAAATAAGAAACTGAAAGATGTAAGAGTGAAGTCAAGTAACGGTCTGTTTCAGCTTTTTTTGTATTTTGCAGTTCAGGCAGGTAAAGAGCTTGACGATTTCCCGTGAAAAATATGAGAATGCTAAGCAATCAGCTCCATTTTTCCCTAACAACTTCCTAATCCAAACCCTTTTTTTTTTTTTTTGGTTATTGATTTTAGTTTCTAACGCTTCTATTTTTCCATCTTCAATTTTAATGAAACTAAGATATTAATTTTTTAACCAAAATATATTTCCTTTTAATCCACTCTCTTTAAACAAGAATTCCATTATGATCATCGTGGGAGATGGATCATATCACCATTTGAATCAACTTTCATCATAATTATAATTGTTATTATTAAGATTTAAAGTGGACTAAGAGCAATAACCCAAGTGGGAAAATTCAGAACGCAACCACTTAGAATCTCAATTAATTCTTCCAAATTTAAATTCTAATTAGAGTATTTAAAAGTTTATGTTGTACACTACCATGTAAAGCTTTAATGTTGAATTGAGAGTAATTTAGGAAATGATCATGGGTTGAAAAGGAAAATCTCATCGGTATGAGGCCTTTTAGGAAAGCCCAAAGCAAAGCCATAAGAGCTCATACTCCGATAGAAAGTTGTGATTCTTTAACAATTAACTCATAAGAACTCCTCACCTTTCTAGTATCACTTCCTCCAACAAATGAAAGACCAGAATTCGCATTCAAGCCATTTAAACATAAGGGGCTTTTACAAAGAGGATGATAAAGTGATAACAGTTGAAATCCAAATAAGAAATTGGCGTATTAAGATTAAAAATGGACGAAGTTGAACACAATGACTTAAAGGCAATGATACTGCTACAAAAAGTTTGGATCTATAAATCAACGACTTATAGATGATAAAGAAAGTTGACAGCAAAATGGGAAAATCCATTGAAAAAATGAACCTCTAGGCCTCGGCCTTCTTCAACTTCGAAAGCTCTTGCCTAACCAATCCAGCCCTCTGCATAAACCAATCAAAGCCCATAAGGATATTAGCAATTGTAATTAAAAAAAAAAAAAAAAAACAGGAAAATGAAAAAGAAGATAATCAGCACAAACCTTAATCTTGGCCAACATAAGCTTGAACCTGTCGAAGTCGTTGAGAGAGGCTCTTCTCTTCTTAACAATCAATTTTCTGCCCCATGAACTATCTTCCCATTTCTTCTGAACATCTGAATGGATACAAAAACACTTAAAGCACAAGCAACAAAAACTAACAGTAAACGCTCATGACAAATTGCAGTATACCCCCAGCTTTCATGGCTTCGATCAGCTCCTTCTTCTTAGGGACCCTTTTAATATCAATTTTGATATCTGTCAGGGAGAGTCTCTTAAAGTTCATTTGAGATCGCTCCATATCAGGGGCATCAACCAGAGCCTGGAAAACACAAAAATTAGCTAGTCAAGCTCATGCAAATGATTTAACAAAATTTTCCATGAAGAGACTAATCAATGAGAGATTAAAAAACCAAATTGATAGAACTATCATTCTAAAAAAAAAATGGTTGCAAATTACTACAAAACATACAAATAATACTTCTGTAGATAAGCAACAAAACACCAAGTTGTATACATTAAAAGAACACTTGAATCAACTAATGGAGAATGATCGAGAAGAAATGACAACCACCATTATCAAGTTCTTAAAGAAAAATCAAACTTTCATAATTTCAAATGTCAAACCTAAAAATGATATTCAGAAGGCATAATAACAACACAAAAACAGTTCAATATCTAGCAGTTTCAGCACTGGACCGTATAATACGAGTACAACGTAGCAATTATGAAGAACTTACAAAACCAGAACGAACTATAACACTACATAAAAACTGTTGATTACAGGAAACGAATGCCTACCCGATTCTGGTCGATAACATCAACGATGACAACGAGCTTTCCGTAGTCTTCACCGTAGTTGACGAGGGCAACCCTTCCGATCTCGACATACCTCTTAAACGGCTAAACAAGCACAACCAATGACCAAAATGAACAGATTGAAACGATCACGATGAATGTAGAGTTACAAGAAAAAGAAGACGCGATTTGCAGAAAGAATCTCACCATTTTCGCGGCTTGTTTGACGTAAGCAACTGTGAGAGCAGCGGCGCGATAGAGGGGAGAGGGAAGAAGGTGGTCTTCCTGCTCTTTATAAGAGCTTCTATCTAGGGCTCGGAATTAATCGGCTTCATAGACCCATTTTGGATAGGCAGAAATTGGGCCATCGAAGGAAGTTCAAACCCAAATCCAAGGCTTTGTTTTGGGCCTTCGAGGAAGTTTAGACCCAAATCGACGGCTTCGTTTTGGGCCGCAAGTTTAGCCCAAATCCCAGACTATGTTTTGGGCCTTCGAGGAAGTTTATGCCCAAATCCTACTTTGTTTTAGGCCATCGAGGAAGATTAGGCCCGAATCCCAGGCTTCGTTTTGGACCGTAAGTTAAGCCCAAAACCCAGGCTCATTTTGGGCCGTAAGTTTAGCCCAAATCACATGCTCTGTTATGGGCCCTCGAGGAAGTTTTGGCCCAAATCCAATTCTATGTTTTGGGCCTTCGAGGAAATTTAGGCCTAAATCCCAGGCTTTGTTTTGGGCCATTGAGAGTTTAGACCCAAATACCAGGCTTCGTTTTGGGCCAGGACTTTAGCCCAAATCCCACTCTTTGCTTTGGGCCATCGACGAAGTTAAGGCCCAACCGAGACTTTGTTTTGGGTATACGAGGAAATTTAGGCCCAATCCAAGACATTTCTTTGGGCCTTCGATAAAGTTTTTAGGCCCAAATTCCAGGTTTATTTTGGGCCGTCGAGGAAGTTTAGGCTCAAATCTCAGACTTCATTTTGGGCAGGAAGTTAGCCCAAATCGCACTTTGTTTTGGGCCTTCGAGGAAATGTTGGCCCAAATGCAATACTTTGTTTTGGGCCTTCGAGGAAATCTAGGCCGAAATCTAAGATTTGTTATGGGCCTTTTAGGCTCAAATTCCAGGCTTCGTTTTGGGCTGGAAGTTAAGCCGAATCCCAGTCTTTGTTTTTGGGCCTTCGAGGAAATTTAGGCCCAAATTCAAGACTTATTTTGGGCTTTCGAGGAAATTTAGGCCTAAATCCAAGACTTTGTTCTGGGCCTTCGAGGAAGTTTAGGTCTATATCTCAGGCTTCGTTTTGGGCCTGAAGTTTAGCCCAAATCGCAGGCTTTGTTTTGGGCTTTCGAGGAAGTTGAGGCCCAAACCCACAACTTTGTTTTGGGCTTTCGAGGAAATTTAGGCCCAACTCCAAGGCTTTATTATTTTGGGCCTTCGAAGTTTTGGCTCAAATCCGATGTTTTATTTTGGGCCGCAAGTTTAGCCCAAATACCACTTTGTTTTGGGCCTTCGATGAAGTTTAGGCCCAAATCCATGACTTTGTTTTGGGCCTTCGTGGAAGTTTTGGCCCATATCCAAGACTTTTTTTTAACCTCATATTTCAAAATTTTATGATAATTGAGCAATGTTTAGTTGCATATCGGTGTGCTATTTAGTATTCGTGTGCGTACATAAATCTTTATACACTCCAAGCCATCCCCATCCATCAGGCCAATTCAATTTCCTATTAGAAGAACAATGGGAAGGAAGAACTCAAAATAATGATCTTCAGAGTCCAGTACAACAAAAATGCCACAAAAAAATCTTCCCCTTTCCTTCTCTTACTTATTGTTTCTTACAGTGCCGAACGGTGTCGCGCAGATAAAGCCTCGGCAATAGGCCATCGCGTTGCTGCGATTCGTCGTTCGGCGTGACGGGCAGCTAGCTTGTTCTCCTTTGAGCACAATGGAAAATGCAAGAAGGCCTAACATAAAAAATGTCCCCCTTCCCTTCTCTCTTAGTGTTTTCTTACAGTGATGAACGGCGTGGTGCTAAGCCTCGGCAATAGGCCATCGTGTTGCTGCGATACGTCGTTCGGCGTGACAGGCAGCTTGTTCTCCTTTGAACACAATGGAATTGGACTCAATGGCACAACATCATCAACACCTCCTGGGCTGTTCACTCCCCACTTTACTGCTAGCTTTATAGGCTGCAGCATTGCCTCTTCATTCTCTGCTAATACAGCTCCTCCCTTCTGGTTCTGAAACATAAACAAAAAAGAACCTAAGGATCATATTCAAAACGGGCAATGTTATATAGAGTGTTCAGATGTTTTGTTCTTACCGTCATGTCTGATAGAATTTGATGTGAAAGCTCTCTCTGGTTTCCACAAAGAGTAAATATATTTTGAATTCTCAATTTTCTCGAGAACGCGGTGTCCTTAGAGTTTTCATCGTCGTTTATTAATCCGATGCCGATCTCCGATCTCTCCTTGAGATTCTGACTTGTTCTGTTCATAACTGTACTCACTACTCTCTTTTCTTCTATTACTTCCTTATCCTCTTCATCTTCTGCATCGTCTTCCTCTAACACAGTACTTAGGCATACTCTATCACTGTCCCTAAACCGTGATGAAAACACATCGTGATCAACCAACTCGTTCACTTTCTCTAGTAGGCTTTGGATACCATTGTTGGTAGACAGTTGATAATCCATACCGGCGATGATTGGTTCTTGATCATCCATGTCCAAGTCCATGGACTTCACCATCCCTGCATCTGCACTTGCATAAACTCCTCCTAAGAGCCTTTTAGCAAGCCTGCAGCCATCCATGTCCCTTGATTTGTTTACAACATCATTGCTTGTTTCTGCATTATTCCTTGAAGTCAATAGTCCAGTTTCGATTTCTTCCAAACGTCGTCTCAACGTTTCGACTTCGTGTTGCTGCTGCAGTATCCTCTCTTCCATTCTTTTCCTTTCCAATTCAACAAATTCATGAGCCATTCTCTGGCACTCCTCCAGCTTCCTCTCCAACTCAAGTTTCAGAATTTCGGTTCTTTCGTTCACCTTCGAATTGATCTCTTCCTCGCTCGTCCCCGATCCTCTCGAGCCTGCTTGCTCGAGCCTAGCTCTCAATTCTGCCACTTGTTCTTCTTTCTTCAAGAGTTCTCTATGTGCCTCATTTCTCTCTTTTTCTCTGAGTTTGTTCTCCTTTTGTAACTTGAAGATGAAATCATCCATTGCTGCAATTCTAGATCCCAGAATAACAGCAGAAGCAGACTCATCAGCACCACATTTATCCTTCGTCGGCGTATGCGGACCACGGACGATGCATTTGGCTTTCGCACCATATTCGAGTGTCGAGATCGTCTTGTGTAATTCCTTGGGATCAGGACTGGCACATAGAATCATCAGAATTTTGGATTTATCATCCTCAAAAGAATCCTGGAGATAGATGGATGATAGATCCAATCAAATCAAATCAATCTTATAAACATATTCTGAGCAAGAACAATAAGAATTCTAAGCGTGGAAAGTTACCTGCAAAAGCATTGTCAATTTACTGTCTCTAAAAGGCACATGAGAATCACCATTGGCAATTGATTCAACCACTCTTTTCAGTGCAATGTTACCTTGATTTATCTTTGCTGTCTGTGATTTAGGGGAGCAACTATTTAGTTCTTTAAAACCACAAGGGGGGTTAGGGGAGGTGCTGTTTAAACAATTTTCACCTGCATTTTTGCCTCGAATCCAACTTGGCCAGCTTGCTCTATATTTTCAGAACCAGCCATATCGACAAGCATTAGGCGCCCACCGACAGTCGGCACGTCGAGGATTATCTATGAAAAATCCAGAAGATAGCAAAAAGTTATGAAAATTTCACCATCTAGACAAGGAAGACAGTTCAAAAGCTCAAACAAACCATGCAATGGCTTCTTGAACTTCTCTCATTACAGAGTGTACTTTTAACAATCCTTCTTTTCTCCACTTTCTGAATCTCTTTGGAAATCTTTCCTGCTTCATTACCAGATAGATAAGTAGCATTCTTTGCCTTCTTCCCCATCACTTCAAGCTTCACCTGCAATAACAAAATGGCTTCAAGCTTCCAATTCCATAAGAACAGTCCAAACTATATATATATATATATATATAACTTAGAAGTACAAGTAAATCAAACCCAATGGAAATTTGAAAAAGCTTCACATTTCTTGAATGAAAATTATCAACGTTCTTTCACAAAAGCAAAGAACTAAATCTAGACATGGAAGAACAGAGACCAAATAGGCAAGAAATTAGGGATTCTGATCATATTTTACCTTAGAGGCACTGCCCTTAGGCCAGCCAAGCCCTAGCCCTCCACCAGAATTACTCGTTAGAAGATCGTATATTTCTTCATTATAAATCTCCAGCACCGTAACTTGCACGAACATTCCAACTCCCAACCGCTCTCCGCCGGCGGCTTCACTTTCGACGTCGCCTAAAATGTCCTTCAGCGACCGATACACAATCCCGGGCTGTTTCGCACAGCCAAACATGGTGTGGCTCTTGCCGGCGCCAGTGGGTCCGTACATCATAATCGTACATTTCTCCCCCAACTTAACGCCGTGAATCCTCGCTTGGACGAACTTCTTGTAAAACGTATCGAGATCTTCCTCTTCCGACAGAGAAATACCATCGAGGCTGAAATCGCGGTACCCGAAATCGGCCCGAACCCGAACGTTCTGACCGTCGGGATTGATCTGCAGAATCGAAACCGGTTTTTCTTTCCGGTCAGGATATTCTCGGATCCGGCCGATTACTTCTACTGGGTGCTCGGATTGGGAGTCTTTAATGGCGGAGTTGGGGAAAGGGGATGGATGTGCCCTAGGGGTATGAAAATTGAGCCGCTTCGCTTGAGGAGTTCTCAATTGGCTCATGTGACTTTGATTTGATTTAGAAGACGGTGTTGGAGCCATTACAGTAAAGAGAACTGCAGAAGAAGAATTATCTGGATTTGATTTCAAGATTGATTTGCAGATCACTAGGGTTTCAATCGAGGGGCTTCAAGATTGGATGAAAGGAAGGACGAGGAATTAGGGGAGCTACAGGGGAAGAAGAAGAAGAAGAACCGTTGAAATGAGAAAAAAAGAAGAAATGGAAAAGTGCAAAAATCGTAATGATCATTTTGAAGTTCAAACAAAATATAGCCGTTGCGACTTCCTAACGTCCACTTTTTACATACTTAACAGCACATCACGCACAGCCGCTTTTTGGACTAATTTCGTTATTTTTCTTTTTCAACTTTCAGATCAAAATTTAAAAATAAATAAAAACTTTCAAATTTTATTGATGAAAATCAATTTGTCTATAAAACGGGAAATGGAACTAATGTCTTGCAAAATAGGAGAAATGTGCCCAACTGTATTGCTAAGTCACCTCCACTTTGATACTCAGTTTAGTTATTCAGTCTGTAAATATCGTTGACAGGAGATTTAAAGGGTTACATTCCGTTTTAATTGGATCACCTTACGCTATTGGTCATTTATGAGATCGTTTGTCATGGGGGATCTTAACCTTAGCTCGATCTAATGGGAGACTGATGTCACAATCACACTCTTGCGATTGTGCGGCATTCACTTTCCAACTATAAGTGAGCTAAGCCAATTCGTTCTTACGTCGCCTAGCGACATATGCTCGAGTCTCTAGTTTCAATTTAAGAAGAAGGTTTTAGAACATGAGGGCATAGAGAGATTTTTGAAAGAGACATTATATAGGCAAGTAAGAGAGTTCACAATATGCAACTCATATCCCCTATAGTACATTTTAGGCATTTCATGTCTGTCAAGTTTAGACATGATTTTTCCAAAACGTCATACTTCTTAGAAATACAAGAGTAAACACTAGAACATGGAAAGATATAAAGGGTTTGGCTTGTCATGGGCATGCGGCCATGGACAACACGCCTTGGATGAGCATGAACGTGACAACTGACTCCCTTTGGAGTCTCAACCTTATTTGACCATAAGTGCCTTGCCCAACCTTTATGGGCAATTTTCTCAACTAAGCAACGCTAATACAACAATTGTTATCCATTTTCGCCTGCATCTAGCTTTTTCAAATTCTTTGCAATTCAAACAAAATGCAATTTAAATGCGTCAACAACCTACTCCTAATTAACACTTAAAACTATGAGTCATAAGTACTTTTAGAAGAATTAAAAACACGTATCTATGGCTAATTTGCACTTAGGTAAATCAAGAACAAAACTGTGTTAAAAAACTGTTTTAGAAATTGAATTCAAATGCTAAAACAAGGCTTACAACTTATAGAAAGAAAATAACAACAATAAAGAATATAAAGGAAAACGGCAACTACAAACTTGAATGAAACACTAAGAATAGAACTTTCAGTTTATTCCATGTGTTTTAAGAGTCTTCAAAATGGAGCTTATATAGAACTTTAGGGAGATTCGATATGTGTGTGAAGTGTAGCCGATCAAAATTTCTTGATTTGAGAAGATTTGAAGGAGAAATTTCTAAAAATACGTCAAATCCTAGAATTGGGGAGATAAATGAATGAGGTTATATTCAATGAATTTCACATGTTGCCCATTTACTCAGTTTTACAAATAAAAGCTCAAACACTAATATACTTGTTTTTACTTCAATTTACCTTTAAACAATGTGAAATATGACAATAGAGATTTACTTTATGAACAATAACCTAAATAACACTTGTAAATGAGCGTAATCATAAGGTCCAGTGATGTTCTTTACTTTAAGGATCCACAACCAATCAAAAAGTTACACCTACGAGGGAATGACAAGAGACCAACTCCAATCAAATCTCATAGGCCAGTTGTCCCACAGCCACATTCACTCCCCACTCTGTGTAATGTAATGAGGTCTCTACACTCCTGAACCCTCCAACTTTTATCTAGCAAATCCATTAATTTCAAAAATAAAAAAATTAAGCTATTTAATTTTTTTTATCTAATTGATACTAATGAAAAATATTTAATTTTTAAAAATATGGTTGTACATATATTTCTGGATCTACTAGTGAGCACAAAACTACCTTAATGGTGCAATACAGTTTCCTTTTAAATGCGTCAAACGCGCTTTCAGCTTCCTTCCTTCCTTCTACATAGGTGCAAGAAAGTTTGGTAAGGAAGAACGATTTAATAGGAATAAATAACCAAAGCTTGGACGCTTTGAAATTAACTAGGTAAAAATCATTAACAATCTCAAAAATATTTTTATTATAATAATGAGTTTTACATAAAAAATAAAAAAAAAAAATTGGTTTATTCCATCATTTTATAATATTTTCAGTCTTCTTTAACTAACCTTTTTTTATTAAAATAAAAACTAAAATATTTTCTGAACATTCTTTCCATATGTCTACCGTTTTCTTCACTCCATCCACTCTACGCAAACTCCACAAAGATCAATTAGCAAAACAATTATGGGAATATAATTCAACTAATAAAAACCTAAATCTTAAGCTAAGTATAAATCATTGACTCTAAGGCCACAAGTTCAAATTCATTCAGCATTTTTTTTTTTTTTTTGAACTAAAAAAAGCAAGAAAACAATTAAAACCAAAAACAACAAAAAAGTAAGATCAGTTTCCACTTTATAATTGAGTGTTGACCGGGAAATTTTGTGTGACTTTTTCAATCAATTTAGGGAAAAGTATTTACATTTAGTTGGTAATTTTATGGGGGGAAGACATACCTATTTTATTTTTGGTTTTCCAAAAACGAATTCTACATATTGCTTTAAAAGATAATAGAAGCATAACCAAAATTTTAAAAGGTACAAATGTGTTTGTAATGTGGTGAAAATTTAATAAAAGCAAACATAATTTTAAAAATAAAAAACCTATCGCAACACTAAAGTTTCGCCGTGGTGATGGAATCCTCCAGAGTTTCTTCCAGAAAGAATGATTCTAAAATTAATGGCGGTTTCCTTTCAAGTGAAGTTAAAGACAGAAACAGAGAAAATTCGCTCGGATTATATAAGGCCATAACAAGGTCTTTGTGAAAGAACTTGTTAATGCATATGACGGAATCGAGTATCTGATCATCCAACATTCTTCCACAAAGTATGTTTACAAGATTAATGGCGGTTTCCTTCCAAAGAAAACAAAGCAATATATCGATGGAAACGGAAAAAAATCGCATCGAAAATCGAAGGACGATACAAATTCTAAATTGGCACGACAGAGGAACGAACCTTGACAGCAATGGCTGCCGTGCCGACTAAATAAAAGATGATCGATCGAACCAATCAAACACGAGAGGAATCATACATCGATCCACATATAACTAAATAAATTCGCAAGGCGCACAATATTTTAACAGCGTACGTACCTCAATCATCGTGACTCCGTTTTCAAATGCAAATATCGATGATTGAGGTACAGACCTGCATTTCAGAAACCGAAGCAACCAAATATCTGAAAAACGGGAGCAAAATAAGAGAAGTATTATTATATAATCATATTAGAGATGGAAAGAGAACTGTGCGATTACAGAATTAGAACAAACCGAACCGATTCTCCGTTTCCGAACTCAGTCCTATACATTGATCAGTAATAGATTTCGCTACGCCGATATGAAAATCAAGAGAACATAAAAGAAAGAGGAAATTTCCAGAGTATGTTTAGTGTGAGAGAGAAAGAGAGAGGAAACTGGTCTCTCATCTCCCATCCTCCTTGCAGTTTTGAGAAATGGGAAATTTTAACGGAACCTAGAAACTAAAATTTTACATCCAATGAAATGACGCCACGTAAGCAGTCACATTTTAATCCACCGAGCGAGCTGGGCCGGGTTAACAATCCCAGGCAAGTGGGCCCCCTCCATCTTCAAGATGCTTGCCACCTCAACATAGCTCTGATTTTCCTTTTCAACACTAGGCGCAGCGGCGGCTTCCGGCTTCGTCCTCTTATACTCGGCTGGCCGCGAGCAAGTCATTCCAACGGCTTCACTTCTAGCCGGCTCGTATTTCTCCCCAAACAAAGTGCCTTTACTGAGAAACTCGTGAGCCAAGTAGCCAGCCAGAAGGCGATTCGAAGCAACGGAGTCGGCTCCCGCAGCTTTCGGCTTCACAAACGCCTCAACTTCCTTCCGCTTCCTAGACGCCCCAGGAGGCAACATGGTGGTGGTGGTGCGTGGGTGAACACTACTCATCTTCAGCCTTAGATCATGCCACGTGGCACTACAAAATGGTAAAATCGTAAATTCCCACTCCTAAAAAGGTTCACCCGTCAAATCACTAGAGTTGGACGTTTCGGACGTAACAAATTTTAAATCGTGAAAGATAAGAGGAAAAGGACAAAAAAGAAAAAAAAAAGAAGGAAAAAACTAAAAAAGGAAAATAATAATAAAGGACTTGGTGCGGTTAAAAAAAAACAAAGAAGCAGAAGCAGACGGTGAATGCCAGTAACTTTAGCAACGAAAAGGGTGAAAACGTAAATTCCGAAGGTAAATCCAAGAAATTTTAAGAGAGAAAATGGTTTGTTCAAACCGAATCCGAAACGTCGACACGACGGAATCGGATCCAGGGGCGGCGATTGTTGCGGCGGCGATGGATGAAAATACGGCCAGATTTAAGCACCGATGGCGGTCTGGAAAGTCGCCGCCGTAGACGGCGAAGGAAAAAGGAGAACCTAGGGTTCTAGGGTTGAGATTAATATAAAGAGAGATTGAGAGAGCGAGAGAGGAAAACGGAAAGAGAGAAACAAAAAGGCGAAAATCTGAGAATATATATGGGCGAAGAGAAATGAGGGGAACTGGTGGTTCTTGATTATATTTGGTGTGAACTTATGAAACTACCCTTATTGTTTGTACAAAATTACTGGATTTGCCATCGGGTGCACGAAATGACAGGAATCTCCCTGCTACGTCGTCGTTTTAGGCTTTAGTGGACGGAAGTACGATTTTCTAGCCCCGATTGGTACCATTCTAATTTTAATGATATAGCCCGATAAATATAAATACGATATTCTTTCATTTATTTAATCAATTTCCAAAAAGAAAAACGTGCAATTAATTCACGTTTATAGCGAACTAATTATTCAAACTGAATTTAATGAGCTAAGAAATCAAAAGTCAAACCAGCATTAATAATATGAAAATATATTTATTTTAAGAATGAAAAATTATAATAATTTGATTTTTTTAAAAAAAAAAATTAATATAACCACACGAAAATAGATCTTGAACAAAAAAAAACAGCATATCTCATATAATAACTTAATAACCGTCTTTCTTAATAAAGAAAGATTTTCCTCCATTATTTTATTATATAACAAAAAAAAATATTAAGATTAAGAGATAAATGGAGATGGAAGGATTTATTTGATAATAAATATTAATTAATTTTTTAAAAATACGTAAAAATTATTTATTTTAAGCTATAACTCAAACTATAAAGAAAGTGATGAAGATTTCATGACCATACCTAACGCGCTAACATTCATGATATCACCAAACAAATTTTCTTTTAAATGATTTTATTGACATAAAAATCACATAAATTAATATGACTTTTCTATTCATGAAATTATTGTATAATTTGTATGATTATTATTTTATTATAATCTTATAATTTATAATAGATTATATATACATGTTTTTATGTATTAAAATAAAATGATTTTAAAATGATCTTATAATTTATTTTTGTGCACTGGAATTTTGCAATATCTTACTTTGAGAATCTCCGCATTTTAAATCATATAAATCTAAAAATGATTTTTAAAAATAAAATCCCACCATGATCATAAATGCATCATCATCACAAGAATCAAATGAAATATAAGTTCAAGATTCATTTTGAAGATGTCGAATATAATATTGTCCATTGTCTCATTTATTTAATTGAAAAAATATCTTCTACTCCCTTATTTCTCGTTAGACGTAGAATTTTCGTATAAATAAAATAAATATCTCTAATCAAGATGTAGTAAACGAACACGTATATCACCTCGCACGAACATAAGTTTATAAGAGGATAAGGCGTATGTGAAGTTTACAACCTACGCGCCATTTGACCATTTTGAACAAAAATTAGTGAAAAATAAAATAAAATTAATCTCCAACTATCTTCTTCTTTCTTTCTTTATTATTTATTTATTTATTTGTCATGGACATCTAACGACTCCTACTTATTTAATGACTCAACGCGTAATATAAAATAAGAAAAGCATTTTCCAACCACTTTTCATACATATTGAAGCTGCAACTTGCCGGAATTTTCTCTCTCAACTATCATATTCTCTCACTAAAATTATTATTATAAATTGTCTTTCAAATTTAATATATTTATAATTAATATTATTAAATATAAATTTTAAATTTTTATAGTCAATTAAGTCTCTACTTTTAATGATTTGTTCTAACAAAAAATAAAAAAAAAATAATAATAAAATAAAAAAATTTTAAAAATTAAAGAGTAAAGTCATAATTATGTTTTTTTCATGATATAAACGAAATTTGTATTTTAATATAGAAGTAAATTTTAACGGTTCAGATTAACCAAATTTGAACCCAATTTCGAAAAATTGCGCGAAAGGTAGCCAGATCGGGATTATACCAAACTATAATGATGGCTATTATGTGGGGTACGGCTTTTAATTATTAAATAATTTTTTTAGCCAAGCGTAAAAATTTCATATATTTAAATTATTATTGAATTAATTAATTAGAGAAAAAAAATAGTCATTTTGGGTCTAAATAAATAAATTCTATTGAGCCCAATTTCATATTGGGGAGCTTTAATTAATAATGGAATAATAATTAATCCACTTTTGACCTAAAATTCTGGCATAAGAAATTATAAAAATATGATCCATAAATGTCCTTATCCATGTCCCAATCTTAGATTATTTGTTTTTTTTATTCATGTCATTTTCTTCTAAATTTTTTCTAATTCAATTAATATATAAAATTCATTTTTAAGTACAGACTATCAAAATTTTAAAATACTAGTTTTATTTTATTTTCTATTTTTAAAAAATAATTGTAAAATTTAATATTATGGATGGCAATTGCTCATCGCTTAAACAAGATAAGATCAGACGAATCAGCAAGAAATTTTATTTTCTTTATTTTCTTTTTTTTTCGGTCACATTCTTCCCTCATTAAATAAATATTATTCTATTGGGCTTTAAATGATCAACTCTTTATACATGGGCTGATGGGCTGGCCCATCATTATGCATCCAATTATGCATGTAGTGGCCGATCCATACGTACAATTGTATGATATTGTCCACTTTAAACATAAATGTTCGTAGTTTTGTTTTGGACTCCTCAAAAGGCCTCATGTCATTCCATAAATTACGGATGTGGGACACTTTCATCCAAAATATATATATATATAATTTCATTTTTTTTATTACGTGTTATCTAACAAATCTTTAAAATAAAGTTTATGGTTTTTTAATATAATTTTAAAAAATTATTGAAATTGAGCTATAAATAATTTTAAAAAAAATTAAGTTTATAAATATTAATGCTATTAGGAATTTGTTTTAACTTGTTATTTACTTTTGGTAATTTTATATTCACAAATATGGGCAAAATTGAAATTTTTATTATATTTTAAAATATGACCAAAATTTGTATTTAAAAATTTATTAGGATAATACGTCACCTTTAATATAATTATTTTGATTTATTTAAAAAGCATTTATTATTCATTTAATCTCATTATGATAATACCACAGTGTTTACATTGTTATTTGGGGGCTGATTTGTCGGTGGGTTTACAAAAAGCTAAAAGCATTAGTCACTGTATTAGAAGTATATAAAAAGCACATATTAATTATAAATAATACACAAATAATTCCAACAATTAATCACTAAAACCAAAATAATTATATTAATAATGCTACCCTCTTTTTTAATTAATTAAATTTTGGATAAATAATAAAGTCAAAAGTGCCCCACTCCCTCTTCTTTTTAATTTTATTTTTAAATTCGATCTTTATTTATTTATTTATTTTTATAATTTTTTTATACTTTAATATTTGAATCTAGTAATTTCATTTAATCTTAAAATTTGATTTATTTTAGCATTCTTTTTTAATTCAATATTTAGAGTAAGAGCTTTGAATTTTTAATTGTGTTACAAAATACCTTATTTAATTGAGTTATGTTGTGATCGGTTATAAAATACCTTATCTTGCTAAATCTATGTTACTCGAGAGACGTTTGGTAACGTTTAATCAATAATTTTTTTATATTGGAATTACTTTATTTTCACTTGGAAATATCCATGAACATCTGTATAGGCTTAGAAGCACATGAAAGGTGAAGTGGGGAAGTGTTAGTAGTTGAGATGAATTAAATGCGAGGGCAAAATGGGGATTTTGATGGGATATAAATAGGTGTGTGGATGAGGCTGGAGAGTTCATCCATTGGGTCATTGTTCATTGGGCTCTACCAAGATGGATAGTGGCTGGAACAGAGCGGCTTTGTTCTCTTTGTTATGTTTTCATGTTGTTGTGTCCAGTGTGCTTGCTAGGGGAGTGGCTAAAGCGAGGAATGAGGAGGAGGAGAAGTTTCTGTTCTATGGCAAGGGTGGTGGACTAGGAGGTGGATATGGTGGTGGCAGTGGTTCTGGAGGAGGAGGAGCTGGTGGTGGCAGTGGTTTTGGAGGTGGAGGAGCTGGTGGTGGCAGTGGTTTTGGAGGTGGAGGAACTGGTGGTGGCAGTGGTTTTGGAGGTGGAAGTGGTGGCGGCGGTGGTCTTGGAGGTGGAAGTGGTGGCGGCGGTGGTCTTGGAGGTGGAAGTGGAGGAGGCTTTGGAGGGGGTCATGGGATTGGTGGTGGTGTAGGAGGTGGAGGTGGAGATGGAGATGGAGATGGAGATGGAGGCCTTGGAGGTGGTGATGGTGGCGGGTTTGGTAATGGTGGTGGTTATGGCGGAGGATTTGGGGGTGGAGGTCTTGGAGGTGGAGGAGGGTTCGGTAAGGGTGGTGGATTCGGTGGTGGCATTGGAAAGGGTGGAGGACTTGGTGGTGATGGTGGAGGTGGAGGTGGCTCGGGTGGTGGGTTTGGCGGCGGCGGAAATGGACACCACTAAGCTTTTTACTTTGCAGTAAAAATCCCATAATCACATTAATACACGTATTATTACCACATGAAAATGTTCTCATGCATTAGATTACTTAAAATGTTTTGTGTACCTTTATGCTTCACATGAATATTGTTATGTTATTATATTTCTTTTCTTAATCTTCCTCACAATAATTACTGAAAATTTATAATATGTTTAATACAATTTTAAATCAGAACATTAAATTCATCGAATAAAACGGAGTTGCTTAAGATCATATATACAAGTATATTATAACATTATGATATAGATTTAATTAAAAAATTCGTAAAATTAATAAAAATATCCCTTCTTTTTTTTTTTTTTTTTTTTTCAAAAAGAATTCTTGATAATAAAAAACATAAGATGGATTTTGAACAAAAATTGCAAAGTATTTAATGTATCTAGTATATATTAATAGTAAATTTTTTAAATTAATTTAGCCAAAAATGTTAGGAATATCTTCACACTTACCTTTTTGGATACAAGGTACCAAGCGAAAATGAAGAATAATGTTCTCAATGAAAAACTGTAACAGTCCAAGTTCATCACTAGCAGATATTTAAGAGTATATATTTTCTTCGTGTCTACTAAAAAGAAATTTCTACATAGCAGGAATGTTTTGTTTCCCACTTCAACCGATGAGGGGTTTCAAAACGGGTCTATTAGGAAGAGATTTCTCTATGCCCTTATAAAGAATGCTTCGTTCCCCTCTCTACTCGATCTAGGATCTCACACATTGATCGGAGAGGGGAACGAAACATTCCAAGAGTGTAGAAATCTTTCCCTAGTAGATGCATTTTAAAACTTTGATGGAAAGTCCGAAAGGAAAGCCTAAAAAAAATAATATCTGTTAGTAGTGAGCTTTAGATTGTTACATTTGCTTATTCCACCTGGAAAGATAGATCTAAATAAAGTCTAAAGGTACAATAACGTTACACCAAACTAATAAATCTGGCTGAAAAACATGCAAAAAGATTATCACTTCCAGAACTTATGAAGAGATTCTATCATTTATGACAACCTGAATAAAAATGCAGAATTTTGCAGCCATGTTGCGTTTCCATGTCCGCCCCTTGAAATTCATGTTGTTGTCCAGTCCATTAGGTACTACTATATATAAGAGGTAAACATAATGGTGATAAATAATGATCTCTTGTATTAAAGTAACTAACTCAACTGTTAGGGAGAGATCAACAACAAAGATCAGAACACGAGAATGCCGTTACACAGAGTAACAGATATGGAAGTAATGTTTAAAAGATATCCATACCCATATCCACACCCTTAAACTTTCATGTCCATAATCTAGTTCCTTGCACCTGTTAAGCATGCAGAGAAAATATATCAGTAATGCATAAAGACTGGTTAAAAGGCGTCGAGCTCGGGGAATTGTATTCTCCCAGAATTTTCGTTTCAGCGTACTCAGAGAAACGACTTGTTTCGCCATATAGCTTGCTTCAGATTCCGAGCCAAATGATCAAAAAAATATTGAGGCTGGCCTAAAATGAGCCATTAACAAATGCCTTCTTCAGTAATCAAAGAGCCTTCACAGCGAAAAGTTAAATCACAACAATGAGTATTCAACTGTGGTCATTTAGGAAACCTCTTATGATAGAGATCATGAGGAATGTACTCGACGCTAATCTCTTGTCCATCATAAATCCTTCCATGCAAAGAGTGCGCAGCCATACATGAGGCTTCCAATCTACCAAACTCAACAAAAACGCTCCCCACCGCAAATGAACTCTCCAGATTGTTATTACGTTCCTTCTTTTCTCTCTTCTCAGATGTGTCAGAATCTGTTCTCACCATGGGATCCATTCCATGTAGAACTTTCTTCTCATCATCAGCCACCACCGTACTTGAATCACCTAGAAGCACTGGTTTCTCATCTGAGCCAGTTTCAATTATTTTGGCAACTTTTACACCATGAAGTTCATTTCCTGGGCTGCTCTGCTTGTCACAGCATCCTCGAGGGATTGTTTCCAATGCACTCTTACAAACTACGTCTTCGAAACATGTAGCATCCTTGATACCCATATGACACAATTTGTCCTCCACAACTTCGTTTTTATGTCTACCATTGTGAGGGTAATTACCTTGCTCCTGATAAGTATAATCGAGGCAATTATCATCATGATCAGTATCATTTCTTGAAATCACAATTGTGCTGATTTCCTGAATCTCATGTTTGATCTCCACATCAGTGATATCACAAATACTCTGGTATTCTTCTTCAGCACTGACACAGCTAGTGCATGGCTTTGCAACATTCATGGATTTAACCGTCCCAAACCTACAAAATTGCATGGTATTATTTTACAACAATCACATTAAATGAAATATACACTACTAGTAACTCTCAGGACCTGGCACATTCAAACCGAATGTCTTCAAGAACTTCGTTGATATCTGACTCAGATAGTAAAGGGAGAACATCTGCATTAAACTAGTTCCAAAAAGAAGACGCCAAATCAGACGACTGCAAATGACACTAATTAACTAATACTCATACCCGCTGGCCTATTAAACTGCACTGTGTATATGTGTGCGACCATGTTTTCATTTTCTGATGAGTGGGGATGGGAGGTGAGTGGATTCATAAGAAAAGCATTAAAAAGATAACGTACCACATTAACTTTCAACACCACTGTTGGCTGTTGAAGAAGAGGTTTTACATGCTCTGGAATCCCATAACACGGTTGACATCCATTACGTTCCTAACATATGTTGCTTGTTAAGCAAGGCCCAAATCACCATGTGAAATAAAAATAAAATTTTCATGACGCTTCATTGTGATCAATAACCATCACAAAATAATTATGGGAAAAGAAAGAGAAGATGAGTAGTACCAACGATGCAATGGGAACAGCTGGAAACACTTTTAGTACTTCCCCTCCAATCTTCATACCATTTAGACCAGCACAAGCTTTGGGCATAACTGATTGGTCAACATACTGATAAATAGATTGAGTGCGAATGTGATCAGGGAAAAAAGATTGATCAAATAAATGGCATATAAGACAAAGGTTTAAAAGAAGATGGGCATTCATATTGAAGCCCCAAAGCACAACATATTCGCACCTTTTTTTTCTTGGCTAAGAAATGGCATATAAATTAAACCTAAAGCAAATTCAACATAATAACAGGCCAACATTCAACATGCACATAAAAAGTGATTTTATCTATTTAAAAGAGAAATTGATAACTCAATCTATGCGATACTCGTTAACAAACAAACAAAAAGTCTTGAACTAATGATCAAAGGATTGCCATGGGCTACAGTGACCACAAATACAATATGGGAACATCATAGATATCTTCAACACAAATGATACTGACTAGAAGGAACAAAGAAATAAAAAACATCATGTATTCATGCTGAATATTGTGCAAACAGTTTCTCCTAGTAAAATGGCCGAGAAGAGACATTGAGTAACCTATCAATGTTGAATATATAAATTACCTATGATATAAAGCTGCAAGTACATAAAGGCAAACAGACCAAAAAGATCGACCAAGTGTCTGAAATATAGTGGTTTAAAGTGGCAAAACATGTCCCGTCCATCAGAACCAAAGGCATGTATTCAAATGTGGAGGTCTATAACCAAATGTCAACAAGAAATTTCAAAGGAAATCAATAATCTATCCTGAGATATTTCCATCAGAAAGTGAACTTACTCTATTTGGAAATCGATGATTAGGTATTACAATAGCTGGAGTCTCACTGATGGCTATTACAAGCAAGTTCAAAGACAAATATTATACTATATTGCAGTTTTCCTTCTGCTTTATATTGGTCTGATGATTCCTAGAGAAAATAGCATTCTATGTGCATTGGTTAGAAACTAAAAGATTTAAAAGCGCCCATTAGTTAGTAAAATTTTGCACGTTGAATCTTTCACAGTAATACGAAGCAACCCATATTTTCTCCTCTTGCGGAGAACGACAGGACACTACTAACTGAAGTTACCAACTCCCGGACTAAGACTGTGATCAAGAAGCATTATGGAAATAACACTAAAACAAGTTTTAAGGGATTGCATATACTACCAAAAATATAGTTCAACGATGTTATTTATCTTGCAAGCGGTATCCACCCAAACTATCTTTCAGCATATGATGAAAAACTAATAACTTGTTTTCTAGGTCTTACCACTGGGCAGAGATGAAAAATAGTAATGTGCCGATTAATGAATTTTCTGCCAAAATGAATCAATTAAAATGCCATTACATGGTGCAGAAATTTTCTTTTACTTTTTTTTATTTATTATTCTATGAAGTAGACTAAAACGTACAAGGTGGTCTGTGCTCTTTAATGAACAGTTTAAATCATAACCACATTGATTTATATCTTTAATATATTGTAAAGAAAAATAATAAGAAAGAAAGAAAGAATATAAAGTCTAAAGCATTTATGAACAAAGAGATAACATAGAGAACTTAAAATGTTAACAGTAGAAAAACAAAATACTAAAGGATAACATTAGGCTTCCAATGCAGTATTTGAAGGATTAATATGGAGTATCATTTTCTGACTGGAAGTGGTTGTGTAAATATGACGGAATTTCCACAACAATATAGATCCTTCCCAAATCATTACAAATAATAAAATAGCACTTGAGACAAGCATGCTAAAATAATGCACATAAAGCATGAAAATTCACCTCCAAAAAGGCGCAAGGTTCATTAAGATCGTTGTTGATTTCAAAGTGATAGGCCTTCAAAGGTCCAAATGCAGCAACAATATTCTTAAGCTGGAGAATAACATCAAAGAAATAATCACCGAATGTACAGCAGCAAAGTGAAAACTGTTGCAAGAGGTAAAGATCACACACAAGGTATGATTAAGTGCAAGGCAAATAAAATATTTCCTCGAATTACCATTTCAGATGATATTCTATTAGAGATCCCAGCAATAATAATCTGCAACAAGATCCAAAATAGACTAAGCAGACATGACTATAAAATAAGCTCACTAAGAGCAATAATAACTCAATAAACTTATTCAAGTTTAGACATCAATCACTTAATAGGTTCGTTAATAGTAATGATTCCACTATGTAGGCATCTTCGATGCTTTTATGAAGATCTATGGTGCATAATTCATCAAAACAGCCCCCACCCCCTCAACAAATCAGAAAAGTCATACTTAAGTAACCAGGGAGTACCACCCAGACTATAGAAAATAAAATAGAAAAACATTTACCCATAAATTTCTCTTGGCAATGCTGCTAAAAGTTTTTAACCATAAGAATTTAACAACTACACCGACCAGACAATAAGGGGAAAAAACATTTTTTAAGAAATTTTCTACAGTACCATGAATTGTAATCCATGAGGACATTTCAGTCACTGCTGCCTCTCATGAATGTGCTATTGAACATTTTAATTTCAAATATTTTATATTGTACCTCTGTGAGAAAACCTAGAAACCTCAGGTTTTTGGATCCTGATTTGGAAAGTGCCCAAGATAAAATTTTAAAATGGAAATATATAAACGCAAAAGGAGTGGAAATGCTATTCAGAAACTTCCTTGGGAGAGGCCGAGAGGAACCAGGAAGGGGTTAACCACTCAGTAAATATGGGAAAAGGTTTCTTTATCTTCAGCTGAAGGGGTCTTGGTATTGTTAATATTTGGAACAACCAGGAAACGGATTAGGAAAATGGTTTAAAGAAAAATGTGCACAAGTAGTGAGCTGATTAATGAGAACTGAATAACTGATCATTCTATCTTCCTTGAAGATCCAAAGGGTCAGTAATGTAATGGGAAGAATCATCGTGGTAAGAACCTCCTTAGCTGGGTTGTATGTCTGGTGCAGTCTAGGGAGTAGAATTGTCCACGATTAGAAGAAAACAGAAAGCTAAGTGAAATTAATTAACAAGCTGTTAACTATTTGACTAATGAACAACTAACAGCATAAAAGTGGCTCTGGAAGAAATTTTGCCAGAAGAAAGCCACAACTTTTTGTGCTCAGCAAGCTCACGGGAGTTACCAACACAGCAGACACACACAAAAAAAAAAAATAAAAAAAACACTAAAAGCTAGACTTCACTCCCTCATCAAGCAATAGTATCATTCTACTCCAGTGTCAATAATTCAAATACGTACCTTATTTGGTGAGTCCTCAACAACATCATTGATTTTATTTACTACTGCCACCGACTTATCCAGGTCACCAGTCTGCATGAAAATAGCAACTGTCTGAAAACCTGCTACATGATAGTAACCACAATAGACCTCAGAAACTGAAATAACATGGTTGAAGAAACATATTCTATATACGGCCAAGAAAACATGAGCAAAATTTACAGAACTGAGATACTAATTTGCGTGGGAGAAAAAAAAGAAAAAGAAAAACAGGTTTCACAAGGGGACAAAAGGGGTGTTGAGTGAATAACCTAAAACCTGCTACTGAATCCCTCAAACATAAAATACAGACATGCAAAGACAAGAATACGGATGTTTGCATCTAAATCGCATAAAAAAATAGAATTTGAACTAATCATTCCATAGTTGGGCATTTTTTGTCAAATGGCTCTAAAAATATAATTTCTCACTCTCAATATCAGTCCTAGAGTTATATGTTTCTGGTTAAATAAGGTATCAATAGCAAGAGTTCTTCTTCCAGTTTGTATGTCTTGATTTTAAGTTCTCAATAGCCAGAGCCTAGAGGAGCCTGAATATCTACCGCTTTTAACCTTACTAATATGGGCGTGCACACTCATATACATGCAAATGTTCAGGGTTTTTCTTATAAAATCATGAGGTACCACACATCTTCACTCATAATCACTTAGAGCCCTCCTCAATTCATAGGTCCTCCCAAGCATATCCTTTCGTGTAGGAACATCCAAAATTAATCCATGCGCTTGGTGAGATCCCCTAGTTCAATAGTGATACCACTAGAAAGTCAACAATCCGTACATTCTCCTTCTCAAGATTTAGGGAAATGCCTTCTAACCATTGACAGACTCCACAATTCCACAACTTGATTCCCCTTAAGTTCATAAATACATGAAATTCCATCTTCAACTAACATTTCTCAACCAATCTCACTTGCAAACTCACCCCTTGAACGGAAGACTCGATTAAGATAAGGCATCCGACTTCCTTCTAACCAAAATTCTACAGAACATAGAAAGAGAGGACAACCCAGAACTAGTTCTTTGTCCCAGAAAAGAGGATGCAAAATGGCTTCCATGGTCATGCCATGACAATCCTTCATGGGTGCAACTACTATACCCAAGAGCTAGCACAAACATAACAAAATCTTCAAAAGCCGCATTCCTCCACTTATGCAACCTTCTCTACCCTTTCCACCACTGCATCCAAACATTGTTTTCAATGGTACCATCCCCAACTCGCATAACTAAACATAGCATAGATCATTCCACGCTACAAGTCATTCTAGCATCCACACTTTGCACCTACTAAACTAAAATATGTATCCCCATGATTGAGAACTTACTTAAATAGGAAATTCTCTTATTTTTTTCTAACCAATTTTCTAGGGAACAGGAAGGAAAAAACTACCACAAACCCCCCCTGTTCGAGAAAAAGATGTAAGTCAATTTCATCTAAATCCAGAATTACAGGCACAACATACTTTCAAATCAAAAGAAGACAAATTGTAAACAAAAACATAACTAGCACAGCATACTTAGACAACAAATTGTAAACAAAAACATAACTAGCACAGCATACTTTCAGATCAAAAGAAAACAAATTGTAAAAAAAAACATAACTAACTTCAGTAAAAAAATAAAATGCAGTCATGAGAGATGGAAAAAGGTCTCCGACAAAAAGAAGATAGTCATGCGGAGGGCCCATATCCCAGGAAACCACAGCTTAACAATTCTAGGTTTGCCCTACAACTAGACCACTCGTGCAAACAATGGAAATTGTATAATATCTTGAGAGTATCATAGAGAATGGAGATGGTAAAAAATTCTGGATGTTTATTCTTACTACAAGCTCGACATAATCCTTTGGTCGCCGAATCCTTAGAATGGAACCAGAGAAGTCACTTCCATCAAATGAAAGTGCTGCTGAAGCATCCTCAGGCGTAAGAAATTCAACAAGAGCTTGCCCCCTATCTTTGTGTATCTGCACAAGTGGTGTTATGCACCAAAACTCACATCAGACAACATCATAACAAAATAGCTACACACGTTAGAAACATGGAATAAAAGCACTTACAATACAACTAATACATGGCTGGGTTCCTTCAATGTGATTAACACCTGAAGATGTAAGAAAACCATTCAGGCAATCAATGATTGCTTTCTCAGATGGAGAATGTGGTAAGTTTTCAATATAAAGCCTCCTCATTGGCCGGGTTGCCTGTGTCAGCTGAATTGAATCAAAAGAAGCATTTGTCTTCGTTGCTAGATTATTTGAAGAAATCCCTGATAAAGATTTCCCCGTGGTTAGAGAAAAGAGAGCACCACCAGATGGATCATTACTAATGCCTGAGGAAACTGTAGGATTTGACGGCTGAAAGTTGGAAGTAACTGAACCAGAAAATAATCCAACCTTTTCAGCTGGAAGAAGATCCAACCCTTCATTTTTCTTCTCTGGTGAACGAACAGGTGGAGTCTTGACAGCAGATTCAGTTCTTCTCTTTCTTGGTGAATAGCCACCAAGCCCACTTCTTGTTAACCCAGAATGCCGCCTGTATTGGCTACTGGAACTGTTGGTGAAATCCCCTATTCTATCACTATCAGAATGCCATCTTCCAGACTTCTTTACATGAGAATCTAATGGCAACTCCTTCTGCCTGGCTAATTTAGTTGAGGACTTGGGTGGCCTTGGAGAAAGTGAACCAGATTTTTTATGTTTACTTTGACGATCTAGGCTTCTTTTTCGTCTTTTTTTCAATCTAGAATCTTCATGATGTGAACTTAACGATATTTTAGCTTCCTTTCTCTCTTTACTTTCTAGGTCATGATGTTTACCATGATCATGTTTCTTTGTTATGTGCCTGTCTCTGTTCCTGTCATCATCACCATGTTGATATTTTCTCTTACTTTCTCTTTCAGATTTCCCCTTACCACGATTTTCACGCCTATCCTTGCCAGCTGCATCTCTTGAATGCCTCTTTCCAGTTTCATTTTCAATGTCAATCCTTGATCGCTCATCATTTTTTCCCCAACCAAGGTTTTCCTGGCCATACTTTTGTCTTTTATCCTTTCCATTTGTGTCATGCTTCAGCTTACCTATCAGTGTCAATCCAGATTCATAGTTATTTCTGTCACTCCTGATCACCATATTGTCCTTCAACAATGTCTCCTCTTTTTTCCTTCTTGAGCTAATCTTGGCTGATTCCTCCAATGGGAGATTTTGCACATCAAGAGAAGAACCTCTACTGTGACGGAAATGCCTTTCCGATTCACGATTTGCAGTAATGTGCTTATCTATGCTTTCCCTTCTTGATTGGCTACTTGTGTCACCCCCATCAGTAGCAGCTGACTCTTTATTCTTCCTTCTAAGCATAATATCTTCAAAGCTGAATGGCCTAGTCCGAGCTGCACTTTCGTCATTAGAGTTGTACAGGCACTGTTTAGCACTGGTTCTACTGTATTGTTTTGAGCAGCTATATGTGCTCATCGGCCCCCACTTAAACAGAGGATATAATGAAAAAATTAATGCTCAAACAAAGTCCACAATGACCAGGTACAGGAGACCAAGAAGCGGTCAAGGTGGAAAGCCTCAGTGCTAGGTACTTGCACATTCAAAAATCCTACGACCCAATAAATACTCATGTTAAGAATAAACCTACAGAAAACGCTAATACAAAGACCACACCTCGCAAAAATCAAAACTTAACCCCGCAAGCTACAATGTAGACAAAATTTACTTGAAGACAACGGTTTACAACGAGCTTCTCATTTTTCCCGCTTCGTAATCGCTCATTACTCAAGTTGACAACTAGAAGACACAACCCAACCCAAAGATTGAACCATGCGTCCTTGGACCACTCAAAGAAGAATTACGCCATTTTTTTCCTACTTAACTATCCTGCAGGAAAACAAAACCTCCAATAAGCCTAGTCAGACAAGAAACGAATCACGTAAAAACCACTTACATGAAAGGAAATAAACGACTAATCTCCCATCCAATCCCATTCTCCATAATTTCTCGAGCTCGAAACAAGAACAGTATTAATTAACTCAAACCAAAACCATCGATAGCTCGGGAGGATTAAGTGAGAACAGCAGCAAGCAACACAAGAATCCAGGAGAAAAAAAAACAATCAGAGAGAAAGATGTAGCAGTGTTACCTTAAATAGAAAGCGGGAATGAAAGTAGAAATGCGAAAGCGGCGATGGCGCAGGGACAGATCTCAGTTGCAGCTTCTGAGGCAATCTCGAAAGAGAGCGCGGGAAGGAGAAGGAGAAAAAACCTAAATTCAGGGTTTGGATTGGTGTGGGCAAAGAAAATTGAGGGTTTTTTTGTCTGCAATTTCAGTGCGCAGTCGCCGTCGTGGAACGATCTCTCCCTCCCCAACTCACCCGCCGCGTGGATCGTTTAAATCAATTATCCATACAATTTCCCTTTCCTATTACAAATTTTAAATTATAATTTATAGCTTATATATTATTTCTATTTTAATTTAGGTTAATTTTACCAATCATTCATAAATTATTTTTATCCCCCATAATTTTTAATTAAGTTTACTTTATGTGTCTAAAATATATATATATATATATATATATTTTTTTTTTTTATAAACTTTCAAAAGTTTAATAATATTTTTAAATATTTTTTAAAAAATCTAAAAAAAAAACATTCGATATAAAATGTAAATAATTTGTTAAAAATACTTTCTCAAAAATAACCTTAAACTTTTAACCGTGTTTTAAAAATACTAAACTGAAAAAGAAACATAATTTCCACCTCTTAAAAAATTTAAAAAAAAAACACCCACAAAATTTTAATATCAGCATTACCAGCCTACCTAAAAAAAATTTTAAAAAAATATCGTCAATAAATAGACGAAGCTATCTATTAGCATTTCATAGATTATTTGCAAACGTTTTAATGTTAATTTAAAAAAATTCATGAGTATTTTTAAAATATGATATTAACTATGGTCGGATAAATTAAAATTTCTCTCGTAAAATTTGTAAGTCTAAGTTTCCTCTAAATAAAATAAATAAATAAATAACAAATCATATTTATTAATATTTCACCAAAAAAAAAAAATAATGTAATATTTGGACACCCTGTTTTTCCCTTCCTGAAATAAATTTATTAGAAAACAAAAAATATTGGGCCTTAGTTGGGCTCAGGAGAGTGTGAGCTTTTAATTGTCCTCTATAAGCTTAAAAAACCAGAAATATTGGGCCCGATAAATACTTTTGGAAACGCGGGCTTTAGGCCCAATAACAGAATTTTGGGCCCAATATTGGGCCCGATAAACTAGAAATATATGACAAATGTTTTTTTTTTTAAGATTTATTGTAATTTTAAATATAACTTGCAAATATAGTATTTTAAATTAATTAACACATTATTATTTATTTTTATATTATATTTTCTTGTAATTCTTTTAATTGTGCATTCATGGTATGAACTTAAATACATTTATTAGCTGTAATTTAATTTTTCTAAAAAATTCAATAATACTCCTGTACTTTGTCACACATAAATCTATTATAGCTAGATGTCCAATAAATTACCAAAGAATCTCGACAAGAATGTAATAAAAAAATTTATAAAATTGGTTAGGGTCGTGCATAAGACTTCCAAATTATCTAAAAAGAGCATTATAATCATTGCCTAAAACAACATTCAATTTTAAATGGTATCAAAGTCAAACATGGTATAATGTGCCAACGAAGATGTTGGGCCCTGAAGGTGGGTGACAACCTTCTTTAAAAGGGTATGGAAATCTTTACTTAGAACACGCGTTTTTAAAACCTCGAGGGAAAAGCATAAAGAGAGCAATATCTGAAATGACCCAAATATGTTTTCTTAACCAATCATGACCTATACAGATCACCTTTGGAAACGTTCCGAGTGGCTCGTATTTCAAAAACCCATATTTCATGGAAGATTCCTTTTGACTAACCAAAAAAAAGAAGAGAGAAGAAAATTGAAAGAGTGGAGCCAATAAGTGTCAATTGCTTCCCTAAAAAAGGTTCCAATAACAAAGGTGGTAGGGAGTTGTCAAAGGTGATGGAGACTTGAAGAAAAATTTGGTTGAAACCCTAAATGATTACGACTCCATATTATGCGGTTCCCAACCTTTCACTTCTAAACATTCAATTTGCCCTTTTCTTTATTTCTCATTCTTTTTTTCCCTTTTCTAGATTGCTTTAAAGTTGTTTTAAACCCATTGGGTCGATTGCTCGTTAGCCACCTTAGTTGAAGCCTTAAATAACTGATCTACTGTTTAGTAGTTCATTCATTGTGATGAATTTTTGTGTCGTGATTCGCTTAGACCTGATCTATTAGCAGTGGGTTTAGACTGTTACAAATAGTATCAGAACCAGTTACCGAACGATGTGAGGCACTAGTCAGAGTAGGGCTAGACCATATTTCCCTTTCGAGCACTAGCATTCGTTATAAGAGTGCCAACTATTTCTCTTCTACTATAGAAGTTGAGAAACGTCTTTTAAAAGTTCCAAACTTTCAATTAATAGTCCATTCCATCGAATTGTTGAAACTTTGGTGGCTGATATCCACTCGACTTCTTAGGTTGTGAATCCTTCTAATAAAGTTATGAACAGGTTTTTCATATTACTCTCTTAAAGAATTCATGATTATTTCTTGGAGCTATTGGACAAACAACGAAGCAATTTGAAGTGGATAAAATGAGGGTTGGCTCGATTCAGTAACATCCAACTTTCAATCTGATTCTTGAAAGATATAATTTAGTAGTCTCTTTCTTCCATTATCTTTAGCAACATGTTGAGTTTTTTTTTTCTTTCTTTTTTTTAGCTTTCTTTACCGGTGCTTGCATCGATCGTCGTAATGGACATTGCCAAACCCTAAATTTTTCACAATGAAGTTTACCATGTCAGACGCTCCAATTTCAAATTTCTTCAGAGCGTTTAACGTAGGCTTTGATCTAAGGGGCTTGCAAACTTATTCTCGAGCAAAAGGAGATTAATCTTCATCTTGAACAAAAAAAAAATAATCTCGAAACATAAGGTTCTATGATCGTTCGAAAGATTCGTCCCTATGGATAATATGTATACTCATTCTAATCTTCTCCATAAATATATATATGGATAATATGTAACACATTTTAAAAAAAAAAATTGACAAAAAAAAAGGCACAAAAAAAGTCTTATGTGCTATGAAAGGGCGAGATGGACCAAGGGTAGTGTGGTGTGGAGCCCATTTAGGCAGCCCAATGGCCGCGCTGGCCCCGCTGGCCCCGCCTTCGTCCGGTACAGCTGCATGCGCCTCTGACTTTTGAATACTTTAATTTTTGGTCCTACAGGTCAAATATCTGCCCATCCTCTCACCTTTGAATATATTTTAGTGCTCCTATTCTCAATTTTAGTTAATTTGGTTCATATAATTATAAAACATTTTCAAAATTCGAATGTCAAAATTCAGAAATTAAAAAATAAAATTTAAATTTGTTTCGAGCTTTGAAGTTTAGATAAGAATTTTAACGTTTGGCTAGAAAAATTAAAAAGACGAGCGAATAAATGGTATAAATAGCATACAAACGAGCACGATTTTTTAACTACAAGAAAGTAAAAATGAAATCGTTATGAAACCGACATTAATAATTCTTACTCTTTTTTGGTTCCTTCAAAATCTATTATAATCAATGAGTTATACTTTGATTCTTTAAATTTAATTCACCCGTTCAATATTATCAAAATAATATATATTTAATGAGTGATTATTGCAATTAATCTTCGATCAATATTGGTTAATAGGGCCAACATAAATATAATTAAACTTCAATAATAATTTGATGGTTCGTTTTTCGTAAATTGAACTCTATCTATATATATAGACATACAGTAAGTAATTTGAAGATGTATTCTTGTATGGTTGAAGTCATCGATATAAACATGTGACCAATATAGAAATTTTCTAAGTCGGGTGTATGTGGAAAATAACTTTTAATTTTATTTTAACTTGTTCATTTAGTACAAAAAAATTGTTCGTGCATGTAGTTATCTCTACTCAAAGACATGAGTATCTTAGATTCAAAGATCAAGTTCGTTCATGCGTATGGGTATCTCGGACTCGAAGATCAAGTAATTAACCTAACTTTTAGTCCTAACAAATGAAACCCATTGGTATTAATGATTCAACGTCTACATCTACTACTTTATTTTTGTTCATTCTTTTCAGAGATGTCCAGTTCCAAACAATCGAATCTTTGCTTGGAATACCCACTTGGAATGGACAATATTAAAACAAAAAAGAACCAACCACTTCAAGTTTTGATATTATCCAAAACAAAAACCTGTTTTAGTAGTAGACAATTTCTATCAATTTCTTAACGGAGCTCAAAAACTTCTTTTTAGAAAACACGTTTTAAAATCGTGAGATTGACAGCGATACGTAATGGACCAAAATGAATAATATCTGCTAACGACGAGTTTGAACTGTTCCAAATGGTATTAGAGCTTGATACCATGTGATGTGCAAGCGAGGACTCTAGGCCTCCAAGGGAGTAGATTGTGAGATCCCACATCGTTTGAAGAGAAAAACAACGATTCCGTATAAACCTCTCCCTGATAGATGCGTTTTAAGTCGTGAGATACGTAATGGACTAAAGCAGATAATAACCGGTGGGTTTTCTCAATATCGGCTTCTTTTTATGGCTTCGTCTTCTATAAACTTTGATTCTTTTTCACTGGTAGACAATTTGGTCTTTTAATTCACGTGTTTTTCAAATCGGGTTTCTTCCACTATCAATAAAAAAACGACCCTCTTTCTAGGTCGGTTTTTTAAATGAATTTGTTTTCACCAAGAAAAAAGAAAAAAGAAAAAGAAAATACCCATCTTCAAGCTTCTCTCATTTTACTTCCCTTCATATACATACACATAGTAACTTACTTTCTTAGGTTTTATAGCAAAGGTAGAGCTTGAGTGGGTGAAAGGTCAAAAGGGTCATTTAACAAAGCTTTTAATAAGAGAAATTAATTAATATACAAAAAGGAAAATAACAAAACAAAACAAAACAAAACAGTAAATTTCTGTTCTTTTTCTCTCCTTTTTGGTTCCCACTTGTTTGATTGTCTATAAATGCAAATTTGGGGTATGAATTGTGTATGTGTGTAGCACAGCACAGCAACAGCCTCACAATTAGAACACAACCATGGCTGTCGAACAAGGCCTTGCCGATGACTACACACAGGATGGGACTGTGGATCTCAAGGGCAACCCTGTTCGTCGCTCCCAGAGGGGTGGCTGGCGAGCTTGCTCCTTCGTCGTTGGTATTTCTCTCCTCTCTTCAAACATTTCTCTCGATTCTCCGTTTCGTGTTAAAACTTAGGTGCCGGCGTAGAAATTTACGCTACCAATCTTGAAGTACGATGTT